CCGCCCGCCGGGACGTGAAGTTCCGCGCCGCCCCGGCCCCGGCCCCGGCGTCCGGCCTGAGACTACAATTCCCGAGCCCCCGCGCCCGCGTCTTGGTGCAAACGTGGGCGGTGCCCCAACTTCGGGGGACCTGGGCGCCGAGGGCTGTGGCCTGGGGACCCGAGCAGAGACTCTGACACCGAGATTCCAAAGGAATTCTCCCGTTTACCCTGTTTCTGCGGTGGAAGCGCCGGCAGGCGGGAGCCCTCGGGGGCCGGCCAACCTTCCAGTTCCACCGGTGATTGTCATCGTGCACATGGCTAGAGGAACACTCCCTCCGCCCCTGGGCACATTTTACAGTCCGGACTGGCGACAGTGAGACTTCGGGGAAGCTCTCTTAACAAGGCGCCCGGTGCCTGCCTCTGTCAGAGGGCGCGAGGCGGGTCCGCAGAGAAGCGAGCACAAAGCCCTGGCTGTTCCTTAAGAAAGCCAAGTGCCTTGGATTTGGTTTATGCTTCCCGCCGCTCAGCAAACAGGACGAGGGCTGCTTTCATCAGATACATTTATTTTCAAGCTGTACAAGTACATAGAGTACTGTCTAGAAGTCATGTGTCCAAGACATGGGTCCTGACTACTGGATACTCTCTTGAAACAAGGCGCCAGAGACCAATGGACACCCGTTCTAAATAGATCCTTTGGAGTCAAGCGTAGGGTAGGTGAGGACTAACACAGCCAGGTGTTGGTAAGCAGAAAGGAAGCAAAAGACCCAGAGGAATCCGAGGAAAGGAAACTGAAAATAGTGTGAAAATAAATTAACTACCAGTTTCACCAAAACTTACTGGCCAAAAGTGTTCTCCTTTACACTCTTTTAACAATTGGAAGGGCAGGAATACTTCCTTTCACATACTAGAAATGTGCCTAATAAGTGTGCCTGGCAAGCTGAGCGACATTTCGTGTTTCTGGCCCAGCATCTGTTGCAGAACTTTTGAGACGACACTGGGGTAGATCATTACCCAAAGGGGAGCATGGGCCCAGGCCACCAGGAGCCGGCGAGCTGGAGCTGGGCAACAATCGTGAGGCAAAGGTTTTATCAGAAACAAGGGCCATGTACTGTGGAGAAATGGAGCATGGAAAGCAGAATAAATTGGATAATGGTTTGAAGAGGGAGAAACGTTTTTGGACCCAGTGGAAGGAAGGTGGAAATAGGAAGTCACCTGGAGAGCCCTTTTACAAACCGCATCACATACTGGACAAGTAGTTAAATCAGGGCCAAGAAGTATGGCTGTGCAGGGTGATTACTGTACAAGAACACCCAGCTGAATGGGTGAGCGGGGGATAAAACCCAGTTCACCTTCTACAGGACTAAGGGTTGCCTTTCTAATTTACTTAAAGGCACCATCTTCCTGCCGAGCTGTGGCCCATTGGAGCAGACCTTTTTCTGATCTCTCCAATGGTGCTGCAAATCCTCAGCATTTCCTGTGTCATTGGAAACGTTGTAACTCTCACATCAGCACTTAGTGACCATCTCCTATTGAGCTGGGTTTGAGTCCCTGCCTACACATTATCACTGTGAAGGGCTGAGAGGCTACCCCAGTTCTAAAATGGTCAATCTAATGTGAAAGCCGGGGTGAGACAGATACACTCCAGATATGTGAAGAGGAGGCAAATTTTGTCTTCATGTGACAATCTGAGTGAACTACCCCAAGATAGAGATCCCTATCACAGGATTCTTGATGGGGAGTTGGGAGGAGGAGTTGTATTATCAGTGAAGTAGGGCCAAATGTCTTTAAAAGTTCCATCCAACTCTAATGCTACATGCGTCTTATTGTTCTGCTTCAACCAGGACGGCTCTTAAAATAGGCAAAGAGATGAAGTTTCCAGTCCTGAATTCCATGGTGGTGTGAATGACTTTAGGGCAGGCATTTAATCTACATTTCTCTTATGTACACAAGTGATTTCACAACTCTTGGAAAAAGAGCGCTGTAAAAATAGTAAGTTTATTGGTTAAAAAAATACTGTATTTGAAAATTACCTTTCTTCTAGGATTTTCAAAAAATTTGCACACTTCATCTTATTCATCCACACAGCAGAAACATTGAAAACGAGAAATCAGAAGAATGTATGGCTTTTTATATACTTAACATCACAACATAACCAGTGCACCCAGTCTCTCACTGTTGGCTCTGAGAAGGCAGAGGAGCCATTCATTCACTGGGAAGGTCTTCACTTCTAGCATCACTCCAACACTTGGGGAAAGCCGGGGTGGGTGCCTCTGGCTTCCTGGCCATCTGATTCGTCATGGACAGGAATTCAACAAACGGGTTTAAAATGTTTCAAATATTTGGTAACATTCTACCCTGTTTCTACCAAGAGATGGCTCAGAGGTAGGAAAGTAATATTTTTACTCCTCTTTCTATGGCAAAGGCCTCATTTAAGTTTGTGAACCAGCTGAGGATCTACTACCCTGCCATGCACGGATCCTGCCAAACACACAGCCGGTTGGATACTCACACCTCAATGGGCTTCCTCCAGCCGCAGAGGCTAATCTCTAGCTGGCAGTGCCCCTAGGAGTGGACCATGGAGATGGAATGTCCCTTTCACAGAAGCTCCTCCACAGAGAAAAGCATGTTATTGCCCATGATGGTCCTACTGGCTGGCCAGGCTCCAGAGGCTCCTACTCTTGCTCAGTACAAAAAGCTTTACACTCTTCTTTTCCTTTTTTGCATTATATTCTTCAGAAACTTTCATGCTCGCCAATTGGCTAGATCTCAAGCTTCAATGTTTACCCTTGCACAGCCCAAAGCCCCTGCAAACCCCAGCTTCCATTAGTAACATCATTGCCCACAGCCCAGGAAATACAAAGGCTTAAAATCGATAGCTTACCCTCAATAAGTAAGAACACGTCACTTTGGATGGGCAGGAGCTATGCCTGTCGGGCTCCCAGCAGAGAACATATGTGGTCAAACGAGTGTTGATTTTGAAGCAGCCTGCTGGAAAGCTCCACTTAGCCCAACACTGTTGCTACTGTACCCCACAGCACAGGATGTCTCTAGAGACTGTGGGAAATGCTCTGGAACATGCTTCTTGGTGGCAAAGCAAGGATTTTTGAAAATAGCTGAGAAATGTCAGAAGTCAGATCTGGTGAATAATCTGGGTGGTAGTTATGTTGGACCCCAGATGCCATAGTTGTTAGGTGCTGTCAAGTCGATTTCGACTTTTAACAACCTCATGTGACAGAGTAGAACTGCCCCATAGGGTTTTCTAGGCTGTGATCTTTACCAGAGCAGACTGCCATGTCTTTCTCCCACAGAACCACTGGGTGGGTTCAAACTGCCCCACTTTCAGTTAGCAGCTGAGCACTTAACCGTTGTATTACCACGGCTCCTCATGGAGCCCAGATGAGGGGTGGTGATACGCAATGTGGCTGAACTCTAAGGCCATCAGGTGGCTCCGAAGGCATCCCAGAGAGGCATTTCAGACACGTCTGAAGCAATGGCAGCATCACAGAAATGTGCGCATAAACCTCCCGCGGGCCAGCTCTCAAGGACAAACTCTCATTTAAGTTCCAGGCTTAATCATATACACAGTCACACTGTATACATTTGGTAAAAATGAGAATGCTTTCTTGAGTAGAAAATATATTACATGTAGCTCATAAGCAGAGCCTGAAGAAAAAAAGTTTAAAAGCAAAGAGTTCTCAACAGTCTCCGACCTGAGGTCTTCGTGAAGATTACGTAACACATAAAAACACACAATAGGTACACACCAAACACGGTCTCCCCTTTGCATTTTCCCTTCTTACAAAACAGGAACAGAGGCTAAAATTTCAGGTGCCATCCCCCAAACTCTTCTGGTTGTTTCCAAGTTCTATTATAAAACCAGGAAACAGGTGATCCAGCTATGACAGGGCAGACCCAAGAAGTATTTCCAGACTAGGAAGCCCAAGAGTTCCAGTGAAATCTTATGTTCCAAGTCACAAGATCAGGTGAAAAGCTGGAAGACTAAAATTACTGGCCCTCTGACTCTGACCTGCAAGAAGAATGGGGGTGGAGTTGGGCAAGCCTCCTTGACCCATGAGGCTTTGAAGGGTAGTTAATATTACAAGTCAAAAGGCACTTTCAGCCTCAGTAAGAAGAGGGCAAAGACTTTCTTCTTTGAAAGCAGAATGGAGCGCAGGGCTGGCAAATTTAAGGCATTTAACCTTGGGCCAGCTCTGTGTGTTTAGTCCACTCTGGTCCCCGGCTGCCTTCACAACCAGGCCCTTCGAGCTTAGCCACCTCACTCACCTTCCCAGCATGCCTGTACACTACAAGCTGTGGCTTGTGTGTTTTAATGGTGTAGTTTAAGTAGCTGCCTTGTCTGTTTCTGAAGTGGTGGACTTTCAGGGTAGCAATACAAACAACAGGGCCCTCAGGTGTCCTTTGGGAGAAAAGCTGCTGAGAGATGGAATAGCCAATAGCCAGGCTAAGCTTGAGAGCCTGATGTGGAGAAACCCCCGGGGCAGGGGGCTTTGGTTTCAGGAAGTCTTAGCGCTCACTTAAACCCCACACTGCAAATCACTGAGGTGAGGCTGACTTGCTGGAAAGCTGAAGTGGCTCCGAACCTTGGTGTGTGTGACGGCTTGTGGACGTCTCAGACCTTGGCTTAACCCAGCATTAGGAAACATGTCCACTAGGTGAAAGCGGTAATATTCCTGAGGATCTTTATTCTAAGGATGTCAGGAAGTGAGGAAATGAGGAAGCACGAGGCAGGGCAGGAGCAGACAAGAGGGGCTCACTTCACTCCCTTTGTGGCATCATTCAGGACTTCTCACTCGTGTTGAAATCCCCTTTGTACATTTGTTCAAGACTGCTAAGTCACCTTTGGAGAGTCAGTTTCAAGCTTGTTTTGATAATTTCTTTAGTCTGAGCAGAGGAGAGACAACAAGAGATGAGGTGGAAAGCTGGAATTCCACAGCCCTAACCAAGACCAGTTTTGCTACAAGAAATCACAGCAGTTTAATTCTGGTATCTTCTTCTTAAGTGTCCTGTTAGATGGTGCAAAGCAGTGGGGCATGCGAGGAACTCGCAAAAGCCATGGAAGGGGAGGGAGATATGCTTGCAAATAGACCCCCAAAAGGAAGGGTCTCCTACTTTACTGGTAACAGAATTACCTGGAGAGCTTTTTAGAAAGGGAGGTCCCCAGGACCCCCACCTCCAAAGTCCTGCGCAGCTGGAGGGCCACAGACCACTGTTCAACTTCACTGAGGCTCCCATAGTACTCGCATCCAGAAAGGCAGTCACATGGGGGTGGGGGTGGAAGGACAACTGATGGATTCTACCTGAAGCAAAGAGATGGGAAAAAAGAAAGAACAAACAAATCGAGCTGAAAAGAAGATCTGGGAAACATGGCATTGGATGGAAGTGAGCGGAAAGGCAGAAGAAAGGAACCATAAAATCACAAACGGAGGTGTAGAGCTGAGTGAAAGAGCATCGGCCAAGTGTCCCATGGCACGTGACCGCAGTGAGAGCAGCATGATGGCACAGGGCTTAATAACCCCAGATCCTCCTGGAGTCTCTGCTTCCAGAACACCAAGCTAGTCGAACAAAATTCTCAAGAAATTCCAGACTATCAGACTGGTCAAACGGGTCAATATACAGGACAAAAGAGGCTGCAAGAGAGGCTGCCAGTCCAGCAACACCTTCTTCCTGTGGATGGATGCAGCAGCTCTGGGGAGGGGGTCTCAAGATCGGCAGGTGGTCCTGGCACCCTCAGACTAGGAGTGAGCTCCCTGGGCAGCATTCCTTTGAATGCAGTCGATTCAGCTGGAGAGAATGCCTTCAACCCATCAGTGTCGGTTCCGTCGCTTTGCAATCTCTTCCTGGACGCGCAACTTGAGGGCCTCTCGCATGGGTGGATCCAGAGGCGTGTGTGCTGACACCTCCTCACTCACCCTTCCTGGGTCATCGTCCTACGTGGAGGAAGAGTCAGGAAGCTCAGGGCCTGGCCTCTTCTGGAAAGGCGGCCTGCTCTATCCCTAGACAATACTCTCACAGAACTCCGTTGGGCTCGCCACTTCCCGCTGGCTCCGTCATTTCCCAGGTTATCCCCTGTAATAGTGATTCTCAACTGGGGGCCACGAGCCATCCCTGTTCCCTTCTGAGAATCACTGTGTGATGGGAGTGAGTCGTGCTTGTAAAGCATCGCCCGGTAGTCCTATGCTCCCACGTGGAGCACACACTTCCCACTGGCCCTGAGGAAAACCGTGGTTCAGTGTCCGGCAGCAATGCATACCGCGGCCCAGGACCTTTAGGCTGCAGCTGTTTCCACATGAGGCGTACCTGATACACGATCACTGATGTGACCTCGCCGCTGTCTGCCTCATATTCTAAGCAGAAGAGCTGATGGCCAGAAGGCTCCAGTTCAGAGCCACCACTACTGTTGCTGTCACCGGACTCCTCATATTCTGGGTTGCTTGGGTGGGTAGAACCATCTGGAGGGATGAACCAGAGTGAGAGGGAAGAGGGGGAGGCAGTTGGAGCCCTCGCCCACAGAAATGACGCAGGAAAATATCCTATAAACAAAGTCCCAATCTTCTTATGGGCCCAGAAGTGTGTGTATGTGTTACCAGTTAGGAGCAGTTTTATTTACCTTTATATCCTTGCTGGGAGCCTAGCACAGTCCTGTCACGTAGCAGGTATACAATGCCTATTTGTCTAGTGAATAGAATTGGAAGGTAATGGAAGAGTGGATAGAACAGCCTCTGGAACCACTGTCTGGGTTCAAATCCAGGCTCTGCCATTTAGTAGCTCCGGGATCTTGGGCAAGTTACTTAACCTCCCTGTGCCTCAGGTTCCTCACCCGTGAAACAGGTATGATGATAATTCCCATCTTATGGAGGTCCTACGAAGACTAAATAAGTTAGCCTACTAAAAAGGTAAAAACACTATTGTACAGTTAGTTATTCTTATTTCTAGATCATGGGGAAGGTGGGGAAAAATCCATTTACTGGGTTTGGGCTTTATTCCAAAATCGTGTCCTGGTCACTTATAGCTGTGCCAGGTTTTCTCTCTGATAAGTACTGGGGATACAGACGTACAGTATGGTGGGGGAAACTCGCAAACAACTTTTTGCCGGCACCTGTTGCTTCCCAGGTATCCCCTGTAATAGCAATAGTGATTCTTAACTGGTGGCTATGAGCCCTCCCTGCTCCCCGGGGAGAATAACTGTACAGAGGTAGGGGACCGCTGAGGTGGAGGTTCCGGGCAGGGGCGATGTGAGCTGAGGCTCGGGGGAGGAGAAGTGGTTTTTTTCCATACAGAGAAGGGGAGTGCGTCGTAGCAGAGGGCCCGGGACCCGCAGGGCGCGCGGGCTGGAGGAGGCAGGCGGGGCGGGCAGCCTCACCTCGGCGTCGCGGCAGGTACACCTGCAGATCGGGCTTGCGGGGCCGCGTCGGCGCGGGTGTGTGCCGCCTCCTCACCTTCTCCTTGGCTGCCTGCTTCACCTTCTTGTCGTAGTCGTCCCTGCGGGGAGCCGAGCGGGAGTCAGGGGCGGCCAGGCTGGGCCAAGCTGGGGGTGGCGGCGGCGGCGCGGGGCGGGGCGGTACCGAGCAATCTGGTTCCGTCGGATATGGTGCACGAAGCCGTGGCTCATGTCCAGTCGCCCGCCAGGCTTGCAGCAGAGGCCCGGCCCGGGATCCGGCGCCGCCTCCATCTGGAGCCGGGTTCGCAGAGGAGCCGCCGTCTCCACGGCCCCAACGGCCGCCCTCCCGTCGGAAAGGATCCGCCTCTCCCTTCGCTCAACTTCCGGCACCGCGTCGTGACTTCCGGTCCCGGGAGGGCCAGGCGGGGCCGAGGGCTTTGCGCGCTGAATTGATGCGGGGGTGGGGCACAGAGGAGGTGAGGAAGGGCTTCCAGCAGCTGGCCGCGATTTTTGTTTTCTTTGTAACATTATCAGTACGAGACAAGACTTACGCTTACCGCTGATAAACCAAAATACGTTAGAAAAATACAGATCACTCATCATATCATTCAACATTCGGTGTGGAGCCTTACTGTCTTTATTCTGGTGATAGAATACTGTGAACCTCCATCACTGGTGGCGTGACCTTACTATTTAATCCCGCTGCGCCTCAGGGGTCACGGATACCACGCACCTCATAGGTTGGGAGAAGGCAAACTGTTAGGCAGCTGGATGAAGCCGTGCCGCCTTGCCAGACCTATGTAATTTTTAAGCTCTCTTAGAAAAAAGACAAAAATTAGGAATTCATGATTAAAATAGGGACCAACCGTGTTACATCCACACAATGGAATACTATTGAGCAATCAAGAGGAATGAACTGTTGATACACCAACAACATGGACGAATCCCAAAATAATCATGCTGAAAGAAACGAGGCCGAATTAAAAAAAAAAAGTACATACTGTAAGAATCCATTTATTTAAAACTCTAGAAAATGCAAATTAGTCTATAGCTGGATGGGTGGGGCAGGGCGACACTTCATTATCTTAATTGTGGTGATGGTTTCACTGGTGTATACATTTGTCAAAACTTAACGAAATTGTACACTTTAAAAATGCAGTTTATTGTATGTCGATTATACCTCAATCACCGGAAAACCAAACCTGTTGCAGTCCAGTCGATTCCAACGCATCACGACCCTATATGTAGGACAGAGTAGAACTGCCCCATATGGTTTCCAACGAGTGCCTGGTAGATTCGAACTGCCAACCTTTTGGTTAGCAGCTGAGCTCTTAACCATTGCGCCACTAGGGCTCCTGTAACTGAATTAAAAAACCAAATCAAACCCATTGCCGTAGAGTCGATTTCGACTCATAGCGACCCAATAGGACAGAGTAGAATTGCCCCATACAGAGCTGTTAAAACAAGAAACATACTAGAACAGGGCGTTGGAAGGGGGTGGTCACAGGCCTTGAAATTTGAGTTTTATCAGCTTCTTGGTAAATTCGCCCTGACCGGGCGTTTGCTTACTCTTGTGGTACCAAGAGCAACGCTCTAGGAATTGGCGCCGCCAGGGTGCTGCATGAAGGGGATGTCGCCTAGTTGTACTGTGTAGGTGCGGAAACCGTGGGAGGCAGCCTCCCGATTCTGGTTTCGGCTCACAAAGTATCTTGAACAAATCTGGGTCGGTATGACAGCTTCTTTGATCCAGAAACACGGTAGCGAATAAAAAGTTCCTGCCTCTTTAAACTGGAAACTGAGTAAGGTGGCAGTAAGCCCTCAAAACGTTCTCAAGAGCGCAAGCAACAGGAAGGAAAACACTAAACGCGCAGTACCTCCTACAAATTTCCTGCGGCGCAATTTGTCCCCAGAAGCGACTCGTAGGGTTCCATGGGCTCGGTAACAGCACCGCTCCTGATTGGCCGCGTGAGGCGCACTCCAGCGTGCCTGGTGCCTGCGCGGGTGGCTTGGCCGGTAGTGGCGATGTCTAGCCGGTCCAAGCGGGAGTCTCGTGGTTCTACCCGAGGGAAACGCGAATCCGAGTCCCGGGGCAGCTCGGGTCGCTTGAAGCGGGAGCGAGATCGGGAGCGGGAGCCCGAAGCGGCGAGCTCCCGGGGCAGCCCGGTGCGCGTGAAGCGGGAGGCGGAGCCGGCGAGCGCTCGCGAGGCCCAGGCGCCCGCCTTCCCAGTGGTGCGGGTGAAGCGGGAGCGCGAGGCGGATGAGGACTCCGAGCCTGAGCGGGAGGTGCGAGGTGCGCGGGGCCGGGCCGGACTGGGCTGGGGCGGGCTCCACCCTCGCCTCTTTTCCCTTTCCGACTTTCTGCGATTTCCCTGCTAGGGATGGGATTGAGGGAATCCAGACACCAACGAAGAGAGTACTAGTATTAACAATAAAAAATCCAAACCAAAATACTTGCCCTCGAGTTGATTGGGACTCATGGCAAGCCCACGTGTGCAGAGTAGAACTGCACTTCATAGGGTTTTTAAGGCTGTGATCTTTTGGAAGCAGATCGCCAAGCCTTTCTTCTGAGCTGCCTCTGGTGGGTTCCAACCGACAGCCTTTAGGTTAGTAGCCTAGCGCTTAACTGTTTGCGCCACTCAGGGACACCTATTATTAATAATAATTGTCGTTGTAATATTTTTAATAATATTAATAGCAGCTTCCCTTTATCGAATCCGTATGGTGGGCCCAGCAGTGTGCTGACTATAGGCGTTACGTCTTTCAGTTTTTACAACGCTGAGGTGTGGGTTTTGCTGTAATTCCTGGAATCAGACCATTCAGAGTTGAGAGCCTGAGCGCTGGGCACCTGCACCAAGCTGCCCCATTATGCCATCACGGCTGTAGCAGTCTGGAGATCTGGATTCTAGTCCTGCCTTTGAGATTGAGTCACTATGGTTTGGGCAAGTGGATTTCACATTCTTGTCTGTCTAAATTAGTGGAAGTAGTCCTGCTAGTGAAGTTGTTACTCCTTACCTGAATTCTCCCTTTGCCTCCTTCCTCTGGGCTCTCTTGGTGTGCCCTAGTACTCCTTGTGAGAGGGTGAGATCTGGAGACCTATCACCCAGCCTTGGTTTTCTGTCTAGTGTGTTCTCTCTTCCTACTTGTCGAAAGTCTGTTGTTGTTAGTTGTCATGGAGTTGCAAAGTGGAACTACTCCAGCGGGTTTTCTAGGCTGTGACCTTTCGGAAGCAGATCACTTGGCCTGTCTCCTGAGGCACTGCTTGGTGGGTTCAAACTGCCAACCTTCCTGCAGGTAGTCAAGCGCTTAACCATTTGTGCCATCCAGAGAATCCTACCACTCATTAAATAGGTGCCTACCACCTCTGAGGAGTCCCTGGGTGGTGGAAATGGTAATACTTGGATGCTAACTGAAAGGTTGGTGGTTTGAGTCCACCCAGAGGTGCCTGGGTGATCTACTTCTGAAAAATCAGCCATTGAAAACCATATGGAGTAATACTCTGACACGTGGGGTTGCTGTGAGTTGGAGTCAACTTAACAGCAGCTGGTTAGCACCTCCGTAGCTTTTCCTGTCCAACCCAATTACATCCTCTTTTCCTTCCCTGAAGCTTGTACTCTTGACTTCAGTATATTCCTATGTTCTTGCATTCTGGTGAGTTAGTAGGAGCCTATTGAAATAGCAGATGAATATATCACTAGGCTACATGCTAGGGGAGCGGGACAGTGTCTGGAGGGGTCTCTTGTTTTTCAAGACTTCATAAATTCTACCTTGTGGTACTTGTTATCTATATGTGATTATACTCTAATATTAAGTCTTAAATTTCTTGCTCAGAGTTCTCTGATATATTTTTGTTTTATGCACGGGGTCTAGTATAGCATCTTGCTCAGAGAAAGAGCTTGATTATATTTGAATAATCCAGTAATTTCAGGATATTCTCTGACTTCCTTCTCTTAAATAACCCTGCCAGCTTCAGGTGTCCCCTTCCTGGGAAGGGAAGTGATTTGTGAGCTATTTTGCATAATTGTGGTGAGGAGATTGTTTTCTCTGGTAGACATATTAGGATCCCAGTTGCTGTTAATGTCTTTCTTAAAAAAAAAAAAAAATTGTGAAATATATTACAGGCATTAAGATAGATTGAATTTACAGTGAACAAGTACAGTTTAAAAATGAGTATGAACGTATATCCATATATCTACCACTCGTCAAGAATTGTGAAAGGTCTAAGATTTTATCCTATTTGCAAGTTCACAAGTTAGCCTGCCACAGTTTCATGAATGCTGATGAAAAATATGGAACTCCTGGGTTGCACAAAGGACAGTTTATTACTCACAGCATTAGCAGTAGTAAGACTGTTAGCATTTATGTGAGTTCCCTGAGTTGATTCCCACAGGGCAACATGAAGCACCCACCTGTACACACTGTGGATTGCCTGAGCTTTGAGAACCTGAATCTTTTATAATGAGCTGTAACATTGCCTTTTCTTTGTAGGGAAACACTGTTTCTCTCTTCCAAGGCTGTTCACTCTACCAACATCCTTGACAAGATAATCTGGAGCAGAGGCAGGCAGTGCTTCTGGTCACAAGATGTGCAGAAAAGTGAGACCCATAGGGAATTGTCTCCTAACACCATTCAGTTACCTTAGAAGCCCCTGTAGGCCCCTTCCCAGTTGTATCTGCTTCCTTTCCTGCTCAGGTGGTCGCTATTTTGAATTTTCTTCTCATTATTTTCTGCTTTCCTTTATAATTTTATCTCATATATGTGTCCTTAAGTAGTACAGTGTTTTATTTTGTACTCTATATAAATGGAGTCATACTGTACATAGTCTTTTGATTTTCCCTTTTCTTATTGCTAGACATTTTTGAGGTTCATCCAGATAGATGTTCATAGCTATTGATGATGTACCAAAATGTATTTCATTGTTTTATTTGTGATGGGCATTTGGGTTGTTTCCAGTTTTGGTTCTTTCAAACATTGCTACTGTAAATATTTTGAAAATGTCTCCTGGTACATGTGTGCAGAGGTTACTCTAGGGTGTACGATTAGAAGAGAAATTGCTACATTGAAGGGTCTGTATGTTTTTAGCTTTGATCCTGCCATACTGTCTTCCAAAGGTTGTACCAGTTTATACCTCCACTGGCAGTTCTTGAGCATTCCCATTGCTGCACATATTCACCAACACTTGGAATTTTCTGACTTTATTTTTTCCTATTTGGTAGATGTGAAGTGGTCTGTCATGTGTTGATGAGGTTGAGCGTCTTTTTATGTGCGTAGGCTGTATTCCTCCTTTAAGAAATACCTTTTCATGTCTTTGGCCCAATTTTGTATTGGGTTGTTTGTCTTTTCTTAGTAATTCACAGGATTTCTTTATGTAATCTGCATACTAATCCTTTGTTGCTTAGCTGTGTTACAGCTATAGTCTCCCAGTTTGCAGCTTGCTCCATTAGTGGCTTTTTTGGGTGTTGCGAGGATGCTGTATAGGAGCTTATTTTGCTTAGTTCATCCCGTGTCTGTGTTTCTTTACTTCCACTAGTAGTTGACCCTGAACAGAGGTTTCCCATTTCCAAAGCCTGTGATGATTTTTCTTTCAGCCAAGAATGGCCGCGTGGATTCTGAGGACCGGAGGAGCCGCCACTGCCCTTACCTGGATACCATTAACAGGTCAGTAGGACAGGTAATGAGGGCAGCAAAAAGAACAATGCAATCTATGCAGAAAGTTCATGGGACAGAAAGTTTGTGTTAATCTTACCCACTTGTAAAGCTTTCTGCCCAAAAAATTGTGCTTCTTGCCATTATTATTAAAAATCTCTTCCTTTACTTGGAAGAGTCAGGGTGCGTACTGTAGAATAGGAATGTTGTTTAAGGCTGAGCACATGCATAAAGAGCTTTCAGTTCATTTTGAATTTGTATGTTAGAATAACAGTGTTATGGATTGAATTGTCCCCCCAAAATGTGTGTCAACTTGACGAGGCCATGATTTCCAGCATTGTGTGGTTGTCTTCCATTTTGTGATCTGATGATTATCCTATGTGTTGTAAATCATCACCTGTATGATGTTAATGCGCCAGGACACAACCTATAGGATTAGTTTGTACCTTGAGTCAATCTCTTTTGAGATATAAAAGAGAGAAGTGAACAGAGAGGAGAGGGACCTCCTACCACCAAGAAAGAAGAGCCAGGAGCGGAGTGTGTCCTTTGGACCTGAGGTCCCTGTGCTGGGAAACTCCTAGACCCAGGGAAAGATTGATGACAAGGACCTTCCCCCAGAGCCGACAGGGAGAGCAAGCCTTCCCCTGGAGCTGGTGCCCTGAATTCAGACTTCTAGCCTCCTAAACTGTGAGAGAATACATTTCTGTTTGTTAAAGCCATCTGCTTGTGGTATTTCTGTTATAGCAGCACTGATACTAAGACAGAATTTGTTACCAGTAGAGTGGTGTGCTGCTCTAACAGATACCTACAATGTGAAAGCAGTTTTGAAACTGTGAATGAATAGAGGCTGGAAGACTTTTAAGGTGCCTAACAGTAAAAGTCTAGATTGCCTTGAAGAGATGGTTGGTGGAATTATGGACATCAAAGACAATTCTCGTGAGAGCGAAGAAGGAAGTGAGGAGAACTATAACACCGGAAAGGGCACAGACGGTGAGGAGCAGCAGCAGAGAAACGACAGCAGCAGAACCAGGAGACTGGTGTGAGATGGTGGGGGAGCTGACCCACAGAGCAAGATTGCTGAGTGCCTCCAGCACTTATCAGTAGAGCTGAAGAGCTTAGAAACACTTGTGCAAGCAGGGCAGACACTGGGCCAGCCCAAGAGGCCTGAGCGCCCAAGGGGCCAAGGAACCAGGAAACAGAAGCTGAAGAGACAAAGACTACAGGAATCAGAGCTGCCTCAGTCTCAAAGGGTAGGGCCACAACCTCTGGGGTCTCAAAGGGTGGAACCATAGCCTGCTGCGTCTCAAAGGGTGGGGCCACAGCCTCCTAGGTTTCAAAGAATCAGATCTTCACCAGCTCGATTTCTGTGGTATGGGGCTGCCTTTTGCAAGTGTCGGAGATGGGGCTGGATCCACTGCCCAAAGCTGAGGGATGGGGTTGCCATGCCCAAGGGGCAGAAGAATGGGGCCTGCGGGGGCTGAGCAGGTGGGGTTGCCACTCAAATGGACTACAAGATTGGGGCCACGCAAAGCCGAGGGAACAGAGTTGCTGGTCCAGTGGACCTGGAAGATGGAACTGAAGCCCAGGGCTGAGGGGCCTCCACCCAGAATCTGGGGAATGTGGCCAACACCCAGAGTCTGGAGGGCAAGGCCATTGCCTAAATGGGTCTCAGAGAACAGAGGATTATTTTCAAGTCTTGAGAGCTAATGTGTTTTGCTGATTTGCTTGGTGCCTGTTATCCCTTCTTTCTCTCCAGTTTCTCCCATTTGTTATGGAAATGTCTACCTTGTTTCTGTTCCACCATTGTACTTTCGAAGCAGATAATTTGTATTCTAGATTTCACAGATGAAGAGGAATTTTGCCCCAGGATGGAATTTGGACTTGGAGTTGATTTAAGAGTTTTGGGATGATATGATGGGGTAAATGTATTTTATATGTGGCAAGGACATGAATTTTGGGGGAGGTCAAAAGGTAGAATGTTGTGGATTGAATTGTGTCCCCCCAAAATGTGTGTCAACTTGGCTAGGCTATGATTCCCAGGATTGTGTGGTTGTCCTCCATTTTGTAATCTGCTGTAATTATCTTTTGTGCTGTTATCCTAACCACTATGATGTTAATGAGGCAGAATTAGAGGCAGTTATGTTGATGAGGCAGGACACAATCTACAGGATTAGTTTGTACCTTGAGTCAATCTCTTTTGAGATAGGAAAGAGAGACGTGAACAGAGAGGAGAGGGACCTCCTACCACCAAGAAAGAACAGCCAGGAGCGGAGTGTGTCCTTTGGACCTGGGGTCCCTGGGCTGAGAAGCTCCCAGGCTGGGGAAAGATTGATGGCAAGGAACTTCCTTCAACCTGACAGAGAGAAAAAGCCTTCCCTTGGAGCTGGCGCCCTGAATTCAGACTTCTAGCCTCCCAGACTGTGAGAGAAAAGTTTCTGTTTGTTAAAGCCATCCACTTGTGGTATTTCTGTTATAGCAGCACTGATAACTAAGACAAATGTGGTGTCCTTACAAACGACGATACTAAAATTAAATATTTGTTGAGTGCCCGTATGTACCAGGTACAATTCTAAGTGCCTGGGATTCAGCAGAGAAAAGTAAAAAAAAGACAAAAATTTGTCCTAAAGCAGGGGTATTTACCTCATCATGGTTCTCTTTTCTCTGAGCCCAGATATTAGAATGCTTTTCAATCTGCCCAATAGAACTTTTCTGCAAAAATGGAATTGTTCTGTATAAGGGATGTCCAGTATGGTAAGCACAAGCTGCATGTGGCTGTTGAGTACTTGAAATGTGGCTTGTGCAACTGAGGAACTGAATTTTAAACTTTATTTAGTTTTCATTTTAAAAATTTAAACGTAATTAACCACATGTGGCTAGTGGCTACTTTATTGGATGGTGCATCTCTAAAGCACCATTACCAATTAATTAGAGTTGATATTTGAGAAGAAATCCTTTTGCTGCCCGTGGATTCAGTGGAGGTCAAGTTTTTTGTCCCTTACCTGCCCACACTCATACTGTTACTTTGCACTTGTATAAATAGATCTATTTGTGGGTATTCCCCTGAAATTCTTCAGGCTTTGCACTTTTATGGAGAAAAATAAATTTTTATTTTTATAAAAATATACTTTCGTAAAAAATAATTTTATAAAAGGGTATATTCACTCTTTTTATGTCCTTCTACTCCCAGTCGTTTACTTTGGAGTGCTGTTGGGCCCTGTTCCGTTAGTCCAGTTCTGGTAGCTTTCCCTTCAGAGAAAATGAGTGCGGTGGAAGGGCCTTGATCGGTTATAAATATTAGTGAGAAGGAGGGTCGCTGACGTGGTTTGTCTGGTAGAGACACTTGTTTCTGCTTTGGGGTGTGGTAGATGGGTGAGGAATGGTTAATGCTCCCCACGGTTTGCAGGGTTGTTGAACCACTCTCTGAAGAATGCTATTTCACACTGTGGAATGTAGAGTCAGTACTACTTCACTTAGGTGCCCTCCTAGACATCCACCTCTATTAACTGTGTTTTCTTTTGTTTTGGTTCTTTTAGGAGTGTGCTGGACTTTGACTTTGAGAAGCTATGTTCCATCTCCCTCTCCCATATTAATGCATATGCCTGCCTAGTGTGTGGCAAGTACTTTCAAGGTAAATAAATGTTATACATTGTAAACTTGCTGAGTGTTAAGAATTAACCACAGGCAGGTCTGCTCCAGAGTTGGTTTTTTTTTTTTTTTTTTAAAGAAAGTAAGCTATGCTCAGGATTCATGTCTAATAATCCTTCTGTTAGTCCCCATTTACTCTTAGAAAACCAACAGGAGCCTGAGTACATCTGAAGGGGAGCGAGAACATCGTGTGAAAGACTATATTGGGGATCTCGAAGAGCCTGGGTTTCTGAATCTCTAATGTTTTCTACATTTATGTCTTTTTCTGAGAATTCTTTTGCTCTAAAGACTTTTTTAATATCTGTTCTGTTCTTTTCTTAAAATTTGTTATTTCAGTTCATTCAGACCAAGCAAATGCTACATACGTACGTAGCGTAGTGGAGGATTTGAAAGAAATATAAACTGCATCCCTTGCTCTTGTAAGAAGTAAAGGTTAACACATAAAGCAACCAGTCAGCTCTGTAAGCCCATAAAGCTCACTGCTAGACTGTGTGGCATTGAGTGCAAGTGAAGGCAGTGAGAGTTGGAAAGAAGGAAAGATCACTCACTGTAATGTTAGCTGGAGTATTTGTGGGAAGTTCATGGAGGAGGTGGTGGTGGGACTTGAACTGGCAGGACATAGAGGGTTTGAATGGGCAAAGGGGGAGGTATTCTAGAAGGGAATGACATTGTAAACAAAGGTACCTAGGTGCAGGATTATACCCTATGTGGGCAGTTGGAAATTCAGGACTGAGTGATGACGGATTGTCACAGGATATATATGTGTGTGTATGTGTGCATATGTGCTTATCTATGTATGTATGTGCATATATTACATGTAGTGTGTGCACAAATCTAATTTTTAATATATATGAAACTAATTCATATGTATTATATTTCACATTCGTTTATATGAAATTAGTTTCCCCAACCAATGGCTTATGCCTTCTAGGGAACAAAGTACCTGGTAAGCTATTATTTCTTGCTAAATTTTGTGATGAGAGAAGCTCATGTGGGAACTTCGTTTCATGGATGGCATAGTTCTTTGTTTTTGCTGATATTAACATGTTCCAGTACAAAAGAATGAAAGGAAAATCAAGCCTGATCTCTGCCTTTCTGGAATCTGCCCTTCTCTTACAGCCTTTCATCCTTCTTTGCAGGCCGGGGTTTGAAGTCTCACGCCTACATCCACAGTGTCCAGTTCAGCCACCATGTCTTCCTCAACCTCCACACCCTCAAGTTTTACTGCCTCCCAGACAACTATGAGATCATCGATTCCTCACTGGAGGATATCACGGTCTGTGTCCAGGAGAGCTGGTTTGGGGCCAGTTCTTTTGGGAGCCTTCCCCCAGGGCTCTCTGGGAACTACTTTCCTACCCCGAGACCGGGGAAGACACTCAGTCCCCTTTTGTGTGGGTGGAACCAGGGAAGCCGAGTAAGGAGGTCAGAGTTCATAATTGCAGCCTGTGGTCTGCAGCCTTGTCATTTGTGCTTTTCAATAATCTAGGGTTGGGACTGAAGAAATATGGCTGCTTTCTTAACCAAAAAACCAAACCCACTGCCACCCAGTAGATTGCGACTCATAGCGACCCCATAGGGTTTCCAAGGCTGTAAATCTCTATGGAAGCAGACTGCCACATCTTTCTCCCATGGAGCGGCTGCTGGTTTTGAACTGCCAACCTTTCACTTAGCAGTTGATCTACTTGGGGTTAAAGATTTTTTTTTTCCTTAAGCCAAAATGTCAATTTATTATTTTAAATTTGGAACATTTCTTTCCAGTAGTAAAGTATCTGTGTCCATTAGTAGGAAACCTTAGCATCAGAGCATCTGGTAGATGGGGTTAAAGCATTTTTGTGAAATTAGTTTTCCTTCCACGTTTTGGGATAGGGCTGTGAATCGGGCACAGTGTAGGGCTGTGATTTGGCCCTGGTGTAGGGCTGTGAATCGAGCCTGGTGCAGGACAGTGGGTATCAAACTTACCAGCTCCTGACTTTTTTTTTTTTTAATTGTATTTTAGATGACGGTTTACAGAACAAACCAGCTTCTTATTAAACAGTTAGGACACACATTGTTTTATGACATTGGTTAACAACCCCACAGCATGTCAGCACTCTCCCTTCTCGACCTTGGGTTCCCTATTACCAGCTTACCTGTCCCCTCCTGTCTTCTAGTCGTTGCCCCTGGGCTGCTGTGCCCCTTTAGTCTCATTTTGTTTTATGGGCCTGTCTAATCTTTGGTTGAAGGGTGAACCTCGGGAGTGACTTCAGTACTGAGCTAAAAGGGTGTCTGGGGGCCGTACTGTCAGTGTTTCTCCAGTCTCTGTCAGGCCAGCAAGTCCAGTCTTTTCTTGTGAGTTAGAATTTTGTTCTACATTTTTCTCCAGCTCTGTCCAGGGCCCTCTGTTGTGATCCCTGTCTCCTGACTACTTTTGACATGATGTGGCCAGAATGGCCAGCATGCCCCATTTGTGGCTCTGGTCTGTGACCTGTCCCAAGAGTCACTTGCTGTACTAAGTGGAGAGCATGTAGAGGCCTCTTGGCATTTTGATTACTGTTGAAACTGTTGGTTATTATTTTCCTTTTTTAGCAAGTAGCTACGTACTCAGTGTTAAATATTTTGTTTCTTTTTAAGAAAAGCTAGGTGTTCAGAGTTTTTAAAATACTACTTATGCTACTTTAAAAGTTTAATAAGTCTATTAATGATTGAAGGGAAGGACAGCACACACTACAGGGAAAGTCAGCACAACTGGACTAAACCAAATCTAAGAAGTTTCCAGAATACAATCAAACACTTCGAGGGACAGAGTAGCAGGGGTAGGGATCTGGGGACCATGCTTTCAGGGGACATCTCGATCAATTGGCATAACAAAGCTTATTAAGAAAATGTTCTGCATCCTACTTTGGTGAGTGGCGTCTGGGGTCTAAAAAGCTTGCAGGCGGCCATCTAAGATGCATCGATTGGTCCCAACCACCTGGAGTAAAGGAGAATGAAGAACACCAAAGACACAAGGAAAGTAGTAGCCCAGGAGACAGAAAGGGCCACATAAACGAGAGGCGTCATCAGCCTGAGACCAGAAGAACTAGATGGTGCCCGGCCACCACCAATGACTGCCCTGACAAGGAACACAACAGAGAGTTCCTGGTGGAGCAGGAGAAAGGTGGGGTGCAGAACTCAAATTCTAGTAAGAAGACTAGACTTAATGGTCTGACTGAGACTGGAAAAACCCCGGAAAGCTGGCCCCTGGATTCTCTATCAGCCCAGAAGTAAAACAATATCCAAGGCCAACTCTTCAGACAGGGATTGGACTGGACTATGGGACATAAAGTGATATTCATGAGGAGTGTGCCTCTTAGCTCAAGTAGATTCAAGAGACTAAATGGGCAGCTTCTGTCCAGAGGTGAGATGAGAAGGCAGAGTGGGTTAGGAGCTGGTTGAATGGACATGGGGAGTCAGGGGTGGAAAGGAGGAGTGTGCTGTCACAATAAGGGGAGAGCAATTAGGGTCACATAACAATGGATGTATAAATTTTTGTATGGGAGACTAACTTGAAATGTAAACTTTGTTTAAACTACAACAGTTAAAAGAAAATTGAGTGAAACTAGTTATGGACAGTATTTACAAGGGAGGAATTGAAATCAAGATTTTAAAGTGTGTTAGTGACAAGCACTCTCATAGCACGTGTGGATGACCCGCATGGCTCTTTATCTAGAGGGGTTCTGATCCCACCCTCCAGTCCCAGGGAGTCGCAAGATCCTCAGTCCTGCCAGAGGTGAGGAGATGCTCTGGCTCCTGAGCTGGGGAGATGTGCTGGCTCTGTTTGAGGTCACCCCAGGACTCAGCCTCCTCCTGCCTTCAGAGATTGGAGTGGTCCTGTAGATTCTGGCTGTCACTTACCTGGGAGCTGGCCAGGTAGCTGAGGTCTGAGCAGAGACTTGGGGTTCAGTGTTTTGGGGCTAAACGCAGAGATCCGCTTCTAGATTAGCAATGGGATGAGGAGCTACCTTGGTCTTTATACTTACTGTTGGGGGCTTTTTGGGTGTGTGGTCAGAAGTTCATGATCCATTTGTTTTTTGTTTTTAGCAGAAGTTGCTGTTCCAAACATAATCGTCTCTGTTTTGTGAGTCTGTTTGTAGACCTCAAACAACTTAGAATTTTCTTGTGCTTGCAGTATGTGTTGAAGCCTACTTTCACGAAGCAGCAAATCGCAAACTTGGACAAGCAAGCCAAATTGTCTCGGGCGTATGATGGCACCACTTACCTACCAGGCATTGTGGGACTGAATAACATAAAGGCCAACGACTATGCCAACGCTGTCCTTCAGGTAGGATCAAGATGAGAACGCTGAAGAAGAGAGGGTAACCCAGGAACAGTGTGAGGGTCAGCCAAGAAATCCCTGCTGCCTTGTTGAGCACAGCCGAGTGGTCCCCAGGCATTCAGTCCTGCTGAGGACTGTACGGAGCGTTTGTTTTGCAGCAGCAGTACACTCCTGTGTCTGCTCCTGGGACTGCTGCCACATGGTGCGGCCTTCCCAGCCCCGGGGCTCGTGGCCTTGGAGCTTCTTAGAGAGCGAGGGATACAATCTGGGTGTTGCCTGGTGATACCAAATAAGAAACAGATACGCTTGATAATGCATATTTGCAACAGTGCAGATGTTCGTTGTCTTGGCTGTGAGATGTCTCATCCCTTCCCCCGTGCTTCTGCCCCAAAATGGAAAGGCAGAAAGCCAAAGGTGTCCTTTTTTTTTTTTTATTGTTGTAGTTTAAGTTAAAGTTTACAGTTCAAGTTAGTTTCTCGTACAAAAAGTTATACACACATTGCTATGTGACCCTAGCTGCTCTCCCTATAATGTGCCAGCACACACTCCTCCTTTTCACACTGGATTTCCCATGTCCACTCAACCAACTCCTGTCCCTTCTTGCCCTCTCATCTCACCTCCGGACGGGAGCTGCCCATTTATCTCATGTATCTACTTGAGCTAAGAAGCACTCTTCACGGGTATCATTTTATGTCTCATAGTCTAGTCTAATCTCTGTCTGAAGAGTTGGCTTTAGGAATGGTTTCATTTCTGGGCTAATGGAGAGTCCAGGGGCCATGTCTTCCGAGGTCCCTCCAGTCTCAGTCAGACCATTAAGTCTGGTCTTCTTACTAGAATTTGAATTCTGTACCCCCACCTTTTTCCTGCTCCATCAGGGCTCTCTGTTGTGTTCCCTGTCCGGGCAGTCGGTGGTGGTAGCCGGGCACCATCTAGTTCTTCTGGTCTCAGGCTGATGGAATCTCGGGTTTGTGTGGCCCTCTCTGTCTCTTGAGCTAATATTTTCCTTGTGTCTTTGATATTCTTCATTCTCCTTTGCGCCAGGTGGGTTGGGACCAGTTGATGCCTCTTAGATGGCCGCTTGCTAGCTTTTAAGACCCCAGATGCCACTCGCCAAAGTGGGATGCAGAACGTTTTCTTAATAAACTTTGTTGTGCCAATTGACCTAGATGTCCCCTGAAATCATGGTCCCCAGACCCCTGCCCCTGCTACTCTGTCCCTTGAAGTGTTTGGTTGTATTCAGGAAACTTCTTAGCTTTTGGGTTAGTCCAGTTGTGCTGACTTGCCCTGTATTGTGTATTGTCCTTCCCTTCACCTAAGATAATTCTTTTTTTTTTTCACCTAAGATAATTCTTATCTGCTATCTAGTTAGTGAATACCCCCTCCCTCCGTCCCCACCCTCATAAACCTCAAAAAGGTTCTCTTCTGTGTTTAAAAAAATTATACCGTTTCTTGAGTTCTTACAATAGTGGTCTCATACAATATTTGTCCTTTTGGTATTGACTGATTTCACTCAGCATAATGCCTTCCAGATTCATCCATGTTATGAGATGATTTGCAGATTCATTGTTGTTCTTTATCGTTGGGTAGTATTCTATTGTGTGAGTGTACCATAATTTGTTTATCCATTTGTCCGTTGATGGGCACCTAGGTTGTTTCCATCTTTTTGCTATTATGAAGAGCGCTGCAGTGAACATGGGTGTGCATATGTTATATTTGTGTGACGGCTCTTATTTATCCAGGATATGTTCCAGGGAGCGGGATAGCTGGATCATATGGTTCTTCTATTTCTAGCTTTTTAAGGAAGCTCCCAATCAATTTCCAAAGTGGATGTACCATTTTACATCCCTACCAACAGTGCATAAGTGTTCCAGTCTCTCCACAACCTCTCCAACATTTATTATTTTGTGTTTTTTGGATTAATGCTAGCCTTGTTGGGGTGAGATGGTATCTCACTGTAGTTTTGATTTACATTTCTCCAATGGCTAATGATCGTGTGCATTTCCTCATATGTCTGTTAGCCACCTGAACGTCTTCTTTGGTGAAGTGCCTGTTCATATCCTTTGCCCATTTTTAAATTGGGTTATTTGTCTTTTCTTTGTTGAGGTTTTGCAGTATCTTGTAGATTTTAGAGATTAGATGCCGATCGGAAAGTTGTCCTATTTTCAGTGAAAAGTTGTTTTTAATTATATAAGTAATATGTGCACATTGTACAAAAATTAGAAAATGTTGGTAAGCATAAGGCATAAATAAGAAAATTGACAACAATCCCACTTCATCCAACAAAAAAATTGATTAAGAAAACCTGTATACGTAAACATAGGCTCATTGGGGGAAAATGTATAAAGTAAAAAGTGAAAGCCTCGTTCCTTTCCTTCCCCAGTGCTCTGTCCTAGGGTAGTTAACGACGTGTAGACTTCCAGAACTTTTTTCTGAACATAGTCACACATTCAGGGTATTCCATCATGTGGCAATATCATGACTTATTTTGCCATTCCCCAAATGACAGATAAAATTTCACTTGTCTTCCCTTTATTTCCCATTACCAGAGCTGTATTGAATATCATTCTGTAGACAGTCTTGCAGTTTTTGTGACACTGTTACATTTTGTTATATTTCTTTTCTGGACTTTCAAAATGCATACAACTACATGTTTTTAATTTTAAAGTGATATAGTATGTATATACATCTGAATATATATTTAATTTACAAGTATATTGTGAAATCAGTAAATAACTCTTTTTTTAAAATTTGCATTAATGTTTTACTGGAAAAAGCCAGTGAACAATATACATTCACATCTTTGAGTCTACCAGAATTATATCCCTGCTTTCACCTATTTTTTTTTTTTTTTGTTTATTTTTGGTGAAAATATACACAACAAAGCATACACCCCTTTCAACAGTTTTTCTGTGTACAGTTCATTGGCAGTGGTGACATGTTCACGTTGTGTCACCGTTCTCCCTGTCTCTGCCCACATTGTTTCACCACTGTTAACTTAGACTGTCTGCCCCTTCAGGGTCTCATCTGTGCTTTAGTGTTTCTGTTGTCATTTTGATCTCCTATGGGTAATTCTTTAAAAGAGCGCAATACTCAAGGCAAACATTCTTTATTATTGTTTAGTTGAAAGATGATTTCATGGGATAGTTTTGGTTCAAGATGTAAAAGTTGTTTCCAGGCAATAGATTTGGTATCTCCAGTCTCATTGTATCCAGTAAGTCTGGTTTTCATAAGAATTTAAAGTTCTGTTCCACATTTTTCCTCCTTTTGATCAAGATCTATCTATTTGTTCCTTGATGAAAATGCTCAGTAGTGGTAGCCATGCACCATCCATTTCTTCTGGTCTCATGACAAAGGAGTGTAACATTCCTAATGATTTCATGTTATTTCATTTTGTTGATGAATTACAACTTATTTAATCTGTGTCCTATTCTTGTATTAATGCATTTAGGGCCTAGATCTGTGCCCTGGGGGGTTTGTAGCAATTTATAAATCCACCAGCAACACAAGAGTGTTCTTTTACCTTACATTGTCACTGTTGTTATTATTTAAAAAAGAAAGTATGTACGTAGTGTATATATACGTATGTATCGTACATATAAAACCAAAAAAAAACCAAACCCGTTGCCGTTGAGTTGATTCTGACTCATAGCGACCCTGTAAGACAGAGTACAACTGCCCTGTAGGGTTTCCAAGGAGTGGCTGGTGGGTTCGAACTGCCAACCTTTTGGTTAGCAGCCAAACGCTTAAACCACTGTGCCACCAGAGCTCCAATATGTATGTATATATGTACACGTGTATGTGTGTGCATATGTATATATATATATATATATATATATATAGCCATTTTGATAAGTGTCTGCATTTTAACTTACATTTTTTGGATCACTTCTAAAGTTGATTTCATTTTTCAACGTATTGACTGTTTTTTCCTTAAAAATAAGCCTTATGTGCTTATTTTTCTAAGTGGCTCATTTTAACTGAGTTTTAAGAAATATATAATAAAGATAGTAACCTTTTTCTGGTATAAGTTGCAAAGAATTTTCATTTAATTCTTATTTTGCCTTTAAACTTTGTTTAAATTTCTGCCATAAAGAATTGGGGAAACAATTGTACAGGCTTATCTGCTAGTTTTGGTGTCTGCCTTCGGTGACATGCTTAGTGCCCAGAAAGGTCAAATCTTAGGTGGAGAGAGACTTTTCAGACTGTTCCTCTTGCAGCCTTCTACAGCTCTGTGAAAACTATTACAGGTAGACAGACTGGGTTTGAACACAGTCAGGGCACTTGGTCTTGACTGATGAATTTTAGTTCCCATAGGAAATTCTTTTTACTTAAAAAACAAAGAGATGAGTAAACCCTCTGTGATGATGTTTCCACTGAAATAGGGTTGTGTGGATCAGGTATTCCCGTGGCTGGATCATTTCTCTGAGGTCACTACTGTTAGTTGTATTACTGCTGTTTGTGGGGTGGGCCTTGTTTTAGGGCATGGAAGCCAGAGAGCAAATGCTACACAGTGTGGATAACTGAGGATTAGTAAAAACTTATATCCATACTCTTCTTTGGAGAGTAACTTTTTTGAAAGCAATTACTATCTAAGAAGGAAGTCCTTGTGTCTGTAGCTGAGTGAGGCTTGTAGAGGCTTTCCTGTTCAACTCCATGTCCTATGTTGTCTTCTCTAGGACACCTGGACTTAATGTATTTGGTAGACACTCTTGTCTTTTTCAAATGGGTTACCTCACCAAAGAAACGTGGGCTCATAGTAAGCACAGTGCTGGTGAGGACTCGTGAGCCCATGAGGAAGGGACTCCTGGGGATACCGTGTTTTTATTGAGGAACTGTTCCATGTTCAGTTTTGTATCTCAGGCTAATAGCATGTATTCCTTCCTCAACTAACATGGCTGTTCTTTGTCTTTTTTGCTTAATTTTGTTCTCCTAAACCTTTTGACCGCTTTCCATTGAGTACATGCGTTTTTATATACAATTGTGTCATTTAATTATCACTCTATTCCTACATTTTAGGAAAACGTTAACTTTTACTGAGATGATTGGAGTTGAGAGATAGGAAAACTGTGTTCCTCTGCTACAGCTAAAATGGGTGATGAAGGAAGAGTATTTAGGTGTCTAGTCTTTAATTCCTTATGGATTCAAGTATAGTCACAGACATAGTTAGAGTAAGAAAGGAAATTATTAAATTATTAAATAAGTTGGTCAGTGGGTAGGGATTTGAATGCCTTTTTTTTTTTAAACTCCTTTGTCATATCCACGTCAACCAAGTGTCTGCAGAACTGGACTTCATGTGAAACTCAGTGTGAAGGATATTCCTGTAGTATTAACTGTGGGTAGAATTCTTCTGAAGTCCCCTTACTTCTGACTCTTTAAGGCCATCGCAGGCACATCACAGGTTCTAGTAGAACAGCTTTGGTGGGAGGAGCCTTGGCTCCAAAGGGTCCTGAAAAAGGGAATTTGGGCTAACCGTGAGTGTTTGACTTACAGGCTCTGTCTAACGTTCCTCCTCTCCGGAACTACTTCCTGGAAGAAGACAATTATAAGAACATCAAGCGTCCTCCGGGGGATATCATGTTCTTGTTGGTACAGCGTTTTGGAGAGCTGATGAGAAAGCTCTGGAACCCTCGAAATTTCAAGGCGCATGTCTCTCCCCACGAAATGCTTCAGGCTGTTGTCCTTTGCAGCAAGAAGACTTTTCAGATCACCAAGCAAGGTGAGGAGCAAGTCATTTATGTTTATCTGACTTCGGTGCAATAAAACTAGTTTGATGAACATACTTTTTTTTCCCTTTTAGGAGCTCCCTGTCTAGTGGGGAAGACAATTATGTAGAAAGGTGGCTACAGAGTGTTCAGTGCTGTGATAGAGGAAGCAGAATGTGCTGTGGGAGCATGGGGCAAGGACCTCCAATCCTCCAATCCAACATATAAGAGATAGTTGGGGGTTAGAGTCTGGAGAAAGAGACCCCTAAGTTTTCGATAGAGGCGGAAGCAGGTTGTGGGGGAGAGGGGCCATTCCAGGTAGGGAGGACCCCAGGGACAGAAAACACTGTAAGTGGTGGGACCCCTGGATTCCTGGGGACAGTGGAGAGCCTTGAGGGGGAGGTGTGGGGAGGGGCCAGGTTGTATCAGGTTTCTTTGCCACTGTAAGGAATTTGGTTTATATCCTGACAACAGGAGGGAGTCGGTGTGACATCAGATTCACGTTTTAAAAGCATTTCTCTGGCTGAGGGGTGAATTAGAGGAGAAGTTCAGTCATAGCCCCACAGCCTTGAAGGTTCTTAGGTCCCTAAGGAAAGGAGAAACAGAGAGGACTCTAAGTAGGTAAGGAGCCACCATGGGGCCTTGCGGGCTTAGAGTAGTAGATAATAGGAGACACTTCGGGATGGATAAGATACATTGATCAAGACTGTATATTCTAGATCAGTGGATTCTTTTCAGAAAACCCATTATTTATTCCCAAATGAGCAGAGGTAATTAATCTATTTGAACGCGGCTTCTGATGGTGCTTTGTAGTTCATAACATGGCCAATAAAATCTTAGTCTGAGGACCTCACCCTTGTGTACACTGTGTAGGGTCATCTAATTCCCATCATTTAGGATGGTTAGGGTATCTTCTGTTTTTAGGGATATTTGTTTCTACACAACCTCTGTCTGGTCAGAGGTTTTTATACTAAGGCTGCATCAGGTATGAAGTTTTTGTTGGAGAATGAGTGTATTTTCAGCCGTGGGTGGATCAGTGTGGACATTCACAGTGCTCCACAGACAGCTTCTGGCCTGCAGGTGAACATTGGTCTCAGAAAGTGCGATTGGTTGTAGAGTTGCAGAAAAATCAGAGCACCCTAGAAATAAACTTACCTAGTTTCTGCTGTCATAGCCACGTACCCAACAGTTACATTGTCACATAAACATGGTTCCCTGTATCTCAGACACCTGGCAGGGCATTCGTTGACTAGTGTTTAGATACCTGAAGAAGCTCTTGCTGTGATAGAACAAAGTCATGTTATGTACATGTTAATGTTATTTAAGGGGAATGAGAAGAAAGTCATTATGGAGCTATTAGAGGCCTTTGAGATTAGGGAAATGAAATTAAGGAAGGTGTATTACAGTCTATGAGATTTTAGTTGAGTGAGTGAAACCAAAAAGCAAACCCGCTGCCGTTGAGTCAATTCCGACTCATAGCGGCCCTATCGGACAGAGTAGAACTCTCTCATAGGGTTTCCAGGGAGTACCTGGTGGATTCGAAATGCAGACCTTTTGGCTGGCAGCCGTAGCTCACTGTAGCTCTTAACCACTTTGCCACCAGGGCTCTTGGGTGAGCAAAGAGGAAGTGAAATGGAGGCAAATTTTAGTTGGTGAGGAAGTAGCCGTTATCCCAAGGTATCTGGGTGGCGGGCTCCTTAGACACTGTGCCCATGGATCAGGAGTGTCACCCACGTACTGGTTCCACTCTAGATGCCTTTTCAGTCCTGGTGCTAGGAAAAGGCTTCTTCCTGCCTTCTGTCATGCAGGGATCCTTGTAAGCTGAAGAAGGGAAGGAGGAAGTCTGAGTTTACTCAGGGAAGCGGCCATTAGTCATTCGTGGAGTTAGTCATCACTAGGTTAGAGATACAGGTTGGGGTAGAGATGATTATTTCAGGTCCTGGTATGGATCAGAGAGCCTAGGGAGAGAGGAAGGAGTGGAAGGCCAAGAGCTTGACCTTGAGAAGTGCCAGCATTTAGTGGCCAGTTAGAGGTGAATGCACAGGGACAGAGTGGCGTGGCCAGAGAGGAAGGAGGAAGACCCAGAAGGTGGAGTCACAACAACCAGGGTGTGGCTTGGGTATGTAATGACTCCCAGCTTTGACATGTCCCACCTTCCTTTTTTTCCCAGGGGATGGAGTCGACTTTCTGTCCTGGTTTCTGAATGCCCTACACTCAGCTCTGGGGGGCACAAAGAAGAAAAAGAAGAGTAAGTTCTATCACTTGTGAAAAGGAGCTGTTTATTGTTTGCTCCCTTTTAAAAATATTGTGACTTCCCATCCCTTTGTTCTCAACTGTTTATCTTTTTGTGATTGGGGGGATAGTACCTATTGTACACACAAGGGAGGAGACAGACACAAAATTGTGAATTATACAGATAATTATAAAGATCCTATGGTGGTATACGTGTTACAAAGGGAAATTTTGGTGTTTAGTGAGCCCTGGTTCTTATGCTGGAAGATTATGGCTTCTTTCAGAAATTGAGAAGTTGGAGATATAGTTTAGGAAAGCTTTTCAACCTCACTGAACTTGATTTCTGTTTGTACAGCGATTGTGACTGATGTTTTCCAGGGGTCCATGAGAATCTTCACTAAAAAGCTTCCCCATCCTGATCTGGTGAGTGGGTTGAACCCGGGTCTTAGACTAATTTATATTGACTGAGGGATTTAGGGGAGACAGCGAGATGCTTAGAGAGCTGACAAGGTCCCCTGCCCTGTGAAGATGTTCTACAAGACTCCTGCCAAGTGGCAGTTCCCTCAGGTTCCTATTGTGCCAGCATTCTCGAAGTTGGGGAGCTTGGGGGCTGGCTGAAGTCTGCTGGTTTAAGCTTCTGGCCACTGGGTGGTGCTGGTGTGTGTTTCAGAGGCTCAGGGAAGGCTTTCTGGATAGTGTGGTATATAAGCAAAATCTCCGAGGATGGAAGACCAGCTGTTCCCTGTGTTAATCTAACCGGCTGGTGCTGCTACCCCTGAAGCTGCCTGGTCCCAGGGGCTCTGGGGGCAGCTCTCTTCAGTCCTTCAGTGTGAAACACAGGAAATGGGAGTGCTGCAAAATCATTGTTTCTTTCCACCTGTGCTGGCCTCCAGGCTGCCCACACTCCGTCCCCCTTTGTCTTCTTACTGTTTTCTAGCCGGCGGAAGAAAAAGAGCAACTACTCCATAATGCTGAGTACCAGGAGACAATGGTGGAGTCCACCTTTATGTACCTGACCCTGGACCTTCCCACCGCCCCCCTCTACAAGGATGAGAAGGAGCAGCTCATCATCCCCCAGGTGCCACTCTTCAACATCCTGGCCAAGTTCAATGGCATCACTGAGAAGGTAGCCCATCTGCCCACCTGCCCTCCGGTGCCCCTTTGTTGGTTTCTTGATTTTCTTTTTATGCTTGAGAAACAGCACATGTATGCAGCGCATTAATTATCAAGTGTATTGTCTTTACTGAGTCTCCTAGACTCCTTGGTATTTCTAGCTGGTCGCTGCCTCTTGTAATTCTCATATGTCCCTTTTAAGCTTTCTGCCTCTGGGTGGTATAGAGAAAGGGAGAGGATATTTAGGACGTAGAAACTCAAAAATATAGGAAAAATTTCATCTTAAAAAAATAATTGGTGTACTGTAACTCGAATAACTTAATATGCTCCGTATTAGGTGAGAAAGATAAGAACAAGAATGTAAATAAATAAAATGAGATCATTATTCTTAGTATAATATTAACCCATTGCCATTGAGTTGATTCCAACTCATAGTAACCCCACAGGGCAGGGTAGAACTGCTCCATAGGGTTTCCAAGGAATGGCTGGTGGATTTGACGTTTTGGTTAGCAGCCATAGCTCATAATCACTGCACCACCAGGGCTCCTACTGTAATATTACCCTTTATCAGGTTAAAGCAGCTTTTTTTTTTTTGTGCTTTAGGTGAAAGTTTACAGCTGAAGTTAATTTTTCATTCAAAAATTTATACACATACTGTTTTGCGACATGGGTTGCAATTCGCACAATGTGACAGCGCACTCCTCCTTTCCACCCTGGGTTCCCTGTGTCCATTCATCCAGTTCCTGTCCCTTCCTGCCTTCTCATCCTGCTTTTGGACAGGAGCTGCCATTTGGTCTCATATATTTAATTGAACAAAGAAGCGTGTTCCTCACGTGTTATTTTTTGTTTTATATGCCTGTCTATTCTTTGTCTGAAAAGTAGGCTTAGGCAGTGCTTTCAGTTCTGGGTTAACAGAGTGTCCTGGGGCCGTAGTAAAACAGCTTTTTATCTGCTGAGTTAACTATTTCTTATTTTTTCAGTTTAATTCCCTTCTTTATCCTACACAGGCTTAATCATTTTTGGTTCTTTTCTGGAAGAATTTTTTTTTGTTTTTTTAACCTGATGCCTCATTCCAAACGCTGTCTGCTCCTTTTGCTTATTCATTAAGGTTCTTGTTTTCAAATATTAAATACCAATAAAAAAACTAGCTAGAGTAAAAGAGGGACTTTATTGGAAGGTATCTCCTAGGGCCTAAGGGAGAGTTGAAGCAGCCAGGCCTTGGGAAGGGCGAGGGCTAGAGTGACTGGGTTCTTAGATGTGGTGGTCTGTTGACGTCCCTTGTGCAGACCTGCCATTACCCTGATCTCAGCCGCTTGCAGCCTCTGTGCCGCTCGGCTGAGGTGGTGCTGACGGCCCTGCTGAAATCCTCGCCAGGTCAGCTTGTGTCATGACTCAAACCGCCCGCCATCTTTCCTGTTGAACTCCTGGGAAACGTCTGTAAGTTAGGCTCTGCCGACAATGAGATGTTAAATCTGCCTCTGTCCTTTTTCCACTAGTCGGAGATAGTTACAGTAGTGCTCCTTGGCGCCAGCTTGTTCAAAGATAGAAATGACAGTGAAATCTCTTGGCATTTACTTAATTTTTTAAAATAATAGCTTTATTGAAATATAATTCACATATCATACAGTTTACCTGTTTAAAGTGTCCAGTTCAGTGGTTTTTAGTACATTCTTAGGTATGTGCAACCATCACCACAGTCAATTTTAGAACATTTTCATACCTGTAAAAGAAACCCCATACCCTTTAGCTATCACCCTCCTAATTCCTCACACCCCCCAGCCCTAAGCAACCATTAATCTACTTTCTGTCTCTGATAGAGTTGCCTATTCTGGACATTTCATATAAATGGAATCAATATAGTACGTGGTCTTTTGTGACTGACTTCTTTCACTTAACATAGTGTTTTCAGGGATCATCCATGTTTGTAGCATGTATCACTACTTTATTCTTTTTTATGGCTGATTAATATTCAGTTGTATGGAAATACCATATTTTATTTATCCATTCATCAGTTGAGGGACATTTGGGGTGTGTCTCTTAGTTTGTACTTTACTAAATTGCATTCATGTTCAGGAGAAACAAATTCATGTTCACTAGCTTTTAAGACCCCGGGTCAGAGGATGTTGTGGGTTCCGACCGTTCTACCTCATGCACGTTGAGTTAGCCATCAGTAAATGTTGCCTGACAGACTGCACTTGACCCAAGAGTCATGGAACCTTTGACGGAGAAGGAAGTGGGGAGTCGGCTGGAATACCCTTAATGATAAGGGGCTCCTCTCCACTTCACCAGCACCTGTTCCCTAGGTGCACTCACCTAATGATCAGGAAGTTCTTCCGTATTTTGAATAAGTGAGACTATCATGGTTTAATTCCATAGCTTTTAACAAGTCCCTTTTTCCTTTGACATTTTGTTTTCCTTGTAGAACGTGGTATCCATGTTACTTTGGTTAGCATTCAACAGTATAATCATGTGCTGGCTGAACACAGCCCCTGGTTGATGTAATTTTATCATCCTTGGCCAGATTGCTAATCCTCCCTAACCTCCTACATAGTTTCTGGGATCAGGTGACTTCTGAATTGTAAGTGCAAGGCAAAATTATATTAAAGAAACCAAACCAAGACAAAAACAAATAGAGACACTCATGCCCCGCTCTAATTCTTGCTGAACTCCAGTGCTAATTTGATGATTTTCTTTTCTGTCTCTAGGAATATAAGACTTACAAGGAGAACTTTCTGAAGCGCTTCCAGCTCACCAAGCTGCCTCCGTATCTGATCTTTTGTATTAAGAGGTTCACTAAGAACAACTTCTTTGTGGAGAAGAATCCAACTATTGTCAACTTTCCTATTACGTGGGTATCATCCTGCTTCACTTTTCTCTTAGGGGGAGTGAGCCTGGGTTTCTTTTCATATTTTTGTATCGCTGTTAGTTTTGGACTTCTTAGTTGAGGATTGCAAGGAATAGCCTACCTGTATTACATAAGTTAAGGGTTTTTATTGAAAAGATACAACTATTTTAGGGACCCCAAAGATAGATGTTTACCTAGAAGCATTCCCCCTTTCACCTTCTGTCCTGTTGCATGCTGGGAATTATAGTCTTTCAGTGTAGGGAAGAGCAGTTGATGACAGAGGTAGGACAGGTAGCATTCTGCCTGGCTTAGATGAGAGTCCTGAGCAGAGAGGTCTGTCCATCATCTGTTTGCTGGCTGTGTACCTTCTTGCGTCCTGTGGCTTGGCTTGCACACGTGGATGACTCCGGATTTGTCCTGCCTGCCTTGGGTCGATCTGTCTTGTTTATTTCCCCTAGAGGGTAAAGCCCAGAATGTCCTCAGTTTTTCCTTATTGACCTATATTTTGATGTAGGGTCTTATTTTTAATTCATCACACCGTTATCTTTTTAGGAACATTCATGAGTAGTTTAATGGGAAATTGGGAGGAGTTGTTTATCAGGTACTTTTAGTTTGCTACCTTCTAACTCAGAAAACTCCTGTAAGACCCCTTTGGGTGGTCTTCACTTCTCAAGAGATGCAGTTTTTCACACTTGAAGAGGATGTCTTTGTGAGAACATGGAGAAAGCTGGTGGCAGAGCTGGCAGGAAGAAATGTGGATGTCTGTGGATGGTTAGATGTGGCAACGGGAGAGCCCTGTGTTTGTTAGTGGGAAGGGTTTGAATGGACGTATGATGGGATGAACACCACTTGTAGCTCAGTATTTCTTTTTCCTTTTTTATCTTTACAGAGTGGTTTGGGAGTTGTAGTGGACAAATGCTTATCTCCTCTTTCATTGCTCCCTCTGTCTTCCCGGTTCCTCACACTATACCAGCACTGCCAGTTTTCTCCTTTGAAAACAGTTTCAGCTCTTAATTCTGTGTAGTGTTTAAGAATGCAGTCTCTAAAGAGCCTGAGTTCTGCGCCTTCTGGTTGTGGAACCTTGGGCAAGTCATTTGCATAGGTATTTTCTCTCGGTTAGGATGAAGGGTTTGGACTGGATAAACTTTAAGGGTCCTTCCAGGTACGATGTTTTATTATTTCTGGATCTCATGATCATGAGGAAGCTGAGAACAATGGGTGTGGTGGGGCAGGAGAGAAAACCTTTGTAATGAGGATTGTAGGAGAATTTATTTTTGTCTTTTCCCACACTTTTCTGTCTGTTCTTCACTGGCATCTTGTTCATGTGACAAGTAGAAGGAAATAGGGGACATGCATGCCTCTCTGCAACATTGAGGGAGACCACAAAGAACTTTCTTTTAAAGTCTGTGACATGGTTCAGAGCTGGACTTTTGTGAATTGCCATAGTCACCTGTCTGGTCCTGGTAAGGAGCAGCGCTCTTGACCCCAGGGCAGCGCTCCAGAGGAAGGAGGGCTGTGCTGACGGTGCTTCCTGCTCTGCAGCCAGAACCTCCTCACACCAACAGGCTCTTTTATGTTGGGTGTGCCATTTGTCTGTTTTGCCCTTGGTCATGTTTGGAGTTTTGCTAACTGTGACTTCAGTAGTTTGTCCTTCAGAAAGCTTGCTTTGGATAAGTTAAGAAAAAGATTACTTCTTTACTAGTCAGCCCTTTAGAGAACGTCAAAGCATGTGGCTACTTCTGGGCACCTGCATTTAAGGAATCACTTTCAGAGTAATACGGCAGTCCCCACTTCTTGAACTGGAACCTTTATGTGCCTAATTCTGCTGTGTTTTATTCATAAACATCCTCTTTTTATCAGAGATTTACCAAACTTGTAGTGATTAGATGCCTTCAGCTCATTGGAAGGTAGGGTTTTTGGGGCACAGGTTAAAAATCTGTGAACGTAAAAGCTTCATTTCCAGCTAATGAGTTGTTCTCTAAATTGGACTGCTGTTCTGCTTGGGAGATGAATGTGATTTGCTGCTTTGTCTGTTTTCTAAAACAAAACGCTTAAACATGTTATATTCATTCCCTTTGCCACTTGAACTGTTTTGGTTCAGTCATGAAAACTTGAAATGTAAATACTCTTGAAGATTTTTCCAGGACTTGTTCAGACGAGTCCTGACAGCTGTTCTTAAAGCTTAGGAGACAGTATCACAGGAAGTCAGTTTTTAGCAGCTGACAGGCAGTTTGGCTATGTAGAGCTCACGTGGATTTCTTAGGACTCATACCTAAATTTTCTTTGTCAATGAATGTGTATTGCAACCCCACTGTATTATATATGGGATACTGTCAGTCTGTAGAAATAAATAGCCATCACCAACACCTAGGAAGCTAGCTACACAATGAAATTGGGACAGAGTCGTATGTTTGTTTGTTAACTACTTGGTTTACGTTGAAAACTATGTTTTCAAACAGGTAATATAGTTGTGTAGTCTAAAAGTCAAAGGGGGACACACACACACACACAGACACACACACACACAGACACACACACACAGACACACACAGACACAGACACACAGACACACACAGACACACACACAGACACACACACACACACACCCACCCCTGTGTATGTAGGTATAACATTGTCTCCCTTCTACCTTCCCTGTAGAAGGGACCACCATTAGTGCTTTCTTTTGAACCCTTCCAGATGTATTATTTTGTCATGTTTGAATGGTAGTACATCAGACAACTCTATAGACATTAGAAATATGATATCTCTTTTATTTTCCCTTATAAAATATTTGTTGGCTGAAAACAGGATATATTTTTCCTAAAATTATGTAGTTAACATAATCTCTTTATATTTTTGTTAACTATTTCCCTATTTGAAAATTCTTAATTTTTTTTTTTTAATTATATTTTTGGTGAGTACTTACACAGCAAATTAGGTTCCCATTTAACAATTTCTATACATACTGTTCAGCGACATTGGTTACATTTTTCACAATGTGTCAGCATCCTCTGTTTATCAAGCTTCTTTGCCCTCCATTACCTTCTTGTCTTTGCTTTAGGGTAAATGTTGACCGTTTGGTTTCAGATAGATGATTATTTAAAGGAGCACAGTACTCTCGGATGATATTGTTTATTTTATGACCAATCTATTTGGCTGAAAGGTGACCTCCAGGAGTGGGTTAAGTTCCAAGTTTAAGGGGTATTTCAGGGTGATAGTCTCCAGGGATCCTCTAGTCTCTACCAGTCCAGTAAGTCTGGCCTTTTTTAGGAATTTGAAGTTCTGCGTTTTTCTCCCATTCTATGCAGGACCGTCTATTATGTCTCTGGTCAGAACAGTTGTTAGTGGTAGCAGGGCACCATCTAGTTCTTATGGTCTCAGGATAGTTGAGACCGTGGTTCATGTGAGCTATTAGTCCTGTAGACTGGTTTCTTTGAGTCTTTGGTTTCCGTTTTCTTTTTCTCCAGATGAGCATAGACCAATAGTTGAGTATAGACCAGTAGTGTTATGCCATTTGACTGAGATGTCCCCTGAGACAACAGTCCTAAGCCTTCAAAGCCAGTAAACCAAAACTGCGAGGTGTTTAGTTACGTCTAGGAGATATCCATAGTTGTGCCCTGTGTCCTTTATTATATATATGAATATATATGCAGCACACACAAACATGTATATACATGTGTATAGGGCAGCCTGCTTCAGTAAGTATTACAGCCTTGGAAGCCCTATGGGGCAGTTCTGCTCTGTCCTGTAGGGTCCCTGTGAGTTGGAATCAACTTGATGGCAACAGGTATCAAGTATAGAAACACCTATAAATGCACGCCCATATATTCACATGTGCCTTCCTATACACATATATGCATTCATATCTACCTATGTAACCACCCACATATTTTTTTGGTTGTTACTACTGTTGTTGCAAAATTGTATATGTTATAGCGTTTACCAAAATTGTCTCTTATTCTTGTGTAGTTCTTACTGTCATCATTTACCTTAGTCATGTTGTACAGACTTCACCCATATTGGGTATTGCCTTTCCCATCACCAAATATAACAGGAGTCTACTATCTAGAAAGTGATTCCCCTCCCCTCCCATCCCTAGTAAGCATCAAAGAATGTTGCTTTCTGTGTGTATACCTATTCTTGTCTTTTTATGAAAGTGAGACCATGCAGTATTTGTCCTTTTGTGATTGACTTATTTCACTCAGCATAATGTCCTCCAGATTCATCTGTATTATAATGTTTTGAGAACTCATCTTTATTCCTTATAGCTGCATAGTATTCCACTGGATGTATGTACCACAGTTTGTTTATCTATCTAGCCGTTGATGGGCACTTAGGTTGTTTCCATCTTTTTGCTATTGTGAATAATGCTGCAGTGAACATGTTGTTGTTAGGTGCCATCGAGTTGGTTCTGACTCATAGTGACCCTGTAGGATAGAGTAAAACTGCCCCATAGGGTTTCCAAGGAGCAGCTGGTAGATTTGAACTGCCAACCTTTTGGTTAACAGCCGAGCTCTTAACCACTTTGCCACCAGGGCTCCGCAGTGAACATAGGTATGCATATGTCTATTTGTGTCACTGCTATTAGATCTCTAGGGTATGTACCTAGGAGTGGGATTGCGGGATCGTAAGGTATTTCTATTTTTAGCTATTTGAGGAAGTGCTGTACTGTTTTCCATAGTGGTTGTACATTTTACAATCCCACCAGCAGTGTATAAGAATTCCAGTCTCCCCACAACCTCACCAGAATTGTTGTTTTCTGGCTTTTTGATCACTGCCATTTTTGTAGAAGTGAGATGATACCTCATTGTAGTTTTGATTTGCATTTCTCTAATAGCTAATAATCGTGAGCATCTTTTCAGGTGTTTGTTAGCTGCCTGAATGTCCTCTTTGGGGAAGTGTCTGTTCATGTCTTTTGCCCATTTTTTGATTGGATTATTTGTCTTTTTGTTGTTGAGTTGTTGGCGTTTTCTATATATTTGGAAGATTAGACCCTTATTAGATATGTTGTTCCCAAAGACTTTTTCCCAGTCTGTAGGTTTCTTTTTACTCTTATGATAAAGTCTTTTGACGAGCATAATTACTTAATTTTTATGAGGTCCCAGTTATCTAATTTGTCTTCTGTTGTTCATGCATTTGTAGTTGTGTTTAATAGTCTGTCTGCAAAAACATTAGTTCTCATAGTTTTGTCGTTCGAACAGAACAAGGGGATACTGTGTGGTTTAAAATCAGGAAGGATGTTCTTCAGGGTTGTATCCTTTCACCATATTTGTTCAGTCTGTATGCTGAGCAAATAATACGAGAAGTTGGACTATATAGAGAAGAACGCAGCATCAGGATTGGTGGAAGACTCATTAACAACCTGCGATATGCAGATGACACAACCTTGCTTGCTGAAAGTGAAGAGGACTTGAAGCACTTACTGATGAAAATCAAAGACTCCAGCCTTCAGTATGGATTGTACCTCAACATAAAGAAAACAAAAATCCTCACAACTGGACCAATAAGCAACATCATGATAAACGGAGAAAATACTGACGTTGTCAAGGATTTCATTTTACTTGGATTCACCATCAACACCAATGGAAGTAGCAGTCAAGAAATCAAACAATGTATTGCGTTGGGGAAATCTGCTGCAGAATGCCTCTTTAAAGTGTTAAAAAGCAAAGATGTCACCTTGAGGACTAATGTGTGCCTGTCCTAAGCCATGGTATTTTCAGTCGCCTCAAATGCATGTGAAAGCTGGACAATGAATAAGTAAGATCGAAGAAGAATCGATGTCTTTGTGTTGGCAAAGAATATTGAATATACCGTGGGCTGTCAGAAGAACGAACAAATCTGTCTTTGAAGAAGTACAGCCAGAATGCTCCTTAGAAGCGAGAATGGCAAGACTTCGTCTCACATACTTTGGACATGTTATCAGGAGGGACAAATCTCTGAAGAAGGACATCATGCTTGGTAGGGGGTTAGTGAAAAAGAGGAAGACCCTCAACGAGATGGATTGGCACAGCGGCTGCAACAACAGGCTCAAACAGAACAATGATTGTAAGGATGGTGCAGGACAGGGCAGTGTTTCGTTCTGTTGTACATAGGGTTGCTATGAGTCAAAACTGGCTCAACGGCACCTAACAACATAGTTTTGTCCCTCTTATCTTCCAGGAACTTCATAGTTTTAGCTTTAACATTTAGGTGTTTGATCCATTTTGAGTTAGTTTTTGTGTCTGGTGTGAAATATGGATCCTGTTTCTTTTTCTTTTTTTCTTGTGCATCAGGTGGAAGTTTACAGCGCAAATTACATTACCAGTAGATAGTTTGTACATAAAATGTTTATGGCCTTGGTTTCATTACCCACAGTGTGTCAGCACTCTCCCTGCTTCTGCCTTGAGTTCCCTGTTTCCTTTTGTCCTTCTTTTCTGCCATTTCCTGCCTTCTCATCTTTGCTTTTGGGCAGGTATTGCCCTTTTGATCTCGTACAATTGATTGTTCTAAGGAGCGTATTGCTCTTGGGTGTTATTGTTTATTTTATGGGCTTGTCTATTGTTCGGTTGGAAGATGGTCTCCGGAAATGGCTTCAGTTTTAGGTCAGAAGGATGTCTCAGGGCCGTAGTCTCGGGCCGTGGTCTCTGTCAGACCAGTAAGTCTGGTCTTTTTTGTTAATTTGATTTCTTGTTCTCCATTTCTCTCTCACTCTGTCTGGGACTCTCTGTTGTGATCCCAGTCAGAGCAGTTGATAGTGGTAGCCATACACCATCTGGTTCTGGTCTCGAGGTCAGGTAGGTGGTGGTTACTGTGGTCCATTAGTGCTTTGAACTAATTGTTTCCTTGAGTCTTTGGTTTTTTTCACTCTTCTTTGCTCTGGATGGGAAGAGACCGATAGTTGCATCTTAGATGGCTGTTCACAAGCTTTTAAGACCCCAGATGCTACTCACCACAGTAGGATGCAGAACATTGTCTTTATGAACTATATTGTGTCAGTTGATGTACATGTTCCCTGAGGCTATGACCCTTTCCCTTGGAGCCTAGGAACTTCAGCCTATGAGGGGTTTGGTTATATCTAAGAGGTTTCTCTGACTGTGTCCCTTGTGTGCTCTGTTGTCTGCTTTAATATATGAGGAGCACCTACAGTCATGTATGTAGAAATACCCACTGCCAGACCTGTATCTGCTGGTGGGTGTCCTCCCTTACACTCTCCCACGCCTCTTGGCATATCTATCTACCTATGTATCCATTTGTAAAGTACTGTTTGTTAATACTGTTGTTGCAGGATTATCTATGCTGTAGTAGTCACCGTAGTTGCCTTTTATTCTTGCGTTCCTCTCAGTGTCCCCTCTTGCCTTGGTTATGTTGTGCTGGCTTCACCCATACTGTGTATTGCCTTTCCCTTCACCAATATTAACACGTGTCTTCTATCTATTTGATAATTTCCCGTCCTTCCCCCTCCCATCCCTGGTAATTCTCAAAGAATGTTTTTTTTTTTCTGTGTGAAAGCTTTTATTGTTACTTTATAATGGTGGTCACATACAATATTTGTCCTTTTGTGATTGACATATTTCACTCTGATCCTGTTTCATTTTAGGCAAATGGTATCCAGTTTTGCCAGCACCATTTGTTGAAGAAACTTTCTTTCCCATTGAATGGATTTGACCCCTTGTTGAAAATCAGCTGCCCGTACATAGTTGGATTTACTTCTGGGTGCTTAATTCTATTCCATTGGTCTGTGGGTCTGTCATTGTACTGGTACCTTGTACAAGGAGGTTTTGATTTCTTAATTATTTTTGTATAGTCTTCACAAGAAGCATTTATTACGGCGTGTTATTTGCAATAACCAGTATACATTTATACTTTAACTGATGTATAGAATTTAGCTTGTAAAATGCAATAGGAGATTTTACTCCAAGTACATCAAGAATGATTCTCTGCATTTGAAAGTGAATGCTCAGATATTAAAAATAAATTTGTTCCTCAATCCTTATTGAAGGAACCTAGTCAGTGGTTTCTTTTGGCAACTAGAACTGAGAAACTTGGAGGTGATGGGGTAGCCAACGTGGGTCACATCCACAGAGAGGAGAAGAGAAAGCCAGGCTGCAAAAGTGGGCAAATGGAGCTGGTGTGTAAAGGGAAGCAGAAAAGAGCACAAGTAGGTCTCCTGGATCCTGCTTCTCCTGCAGTGCCTGTTTCCAGCTGCATTTCCTTGTCTGAGAACTTCAGATAAATTGCCCTTCAGTGCTTAGGCTGGCGTGAGTGAGTTTGTGTCACTTACTTAAGAGAAAAATCCATTGCTGTCAAGTCAGTTGGACTCATAGCAACCCTGTAGGACAGAGTAGAACTGCCCCATAGGATTTCCAAGGAGCAACTGGTGGATTCGAACTGCCAGACTTTTTGGTTAGCAGCCAAGCTCTTAACCACTGTGCCACTAGGGCTCCTGCTTTAGAGAAACACAACCAAACGAAGCAGGGTCCCAGAAAAGAAAAGGAAAAAAAAAAAATCTGAATGACCTGGCCGTTTGTCACGTTGAGATTGTTACAGTCATTACATACAGTGGCATTCCCCATTACATAATCATGTGGCCAGGCCTTTCATAACCTGAAGCCAAAGACCAGGCATTGACTAAACACTGCAGCTGAACTCTCAGCTGGGGCAGTGGTGAGACAAATCACACTTTTTGTCTCACTTAATGCTTAACCGCACTCATAGGAGACCTTTGGAGACCATACTCTCATTCTCATGTCATAGAATGCGCTCAAACTCACGGCTCTGAAGTGGCCGAGCCTGGACTCCTGTTCAGGTCAGAATGACTCCAGTTCCTGCACTTTTGACTGTTGGACTTTTAAAATGTGTGTTTCCCATAGGGCCTCTCTTTCTAGTAAAAAGCCTCTTTTTTAAAAAAAAATTTTTTCATTGTACTTTAGACGAAGGTTTACAGAACAAATAGTTTCTCATTAAACGGTTAGTACACATATTGTTTTATTACATTGGTTAACAACCCCGTGACATGTCAACACTGTCCCTTTTCAACCTTGAGTTCCCTGTTAGAGCGTTCCTGTCCCCTCTTGCCTTCTAGTTCTTCTCCCTGGGCTGTAGTGCCCCATTTGTCTCGTTTTGTTTTATGGGGCTGTCTAATCTTTGGCTGAATGGTTAACCTTGGGAGTGACTTCATTACTGAGCTAAAAGGGTGTCTGGGGGCCATATTCTTGGGGTTTCTCCAGTCTCTGTCAGGCCAATAAGTCTGGTTTTTTTTTGTGAGTTAGAATTTTGTTCTACATTTTTCTCCAGCTCTGACCGGTACACTTTGTTGTGATCCCTGTCAGAGCAGTCAGTGGTGGTACCCAGGCACCATCTAGTTGTACTGGACTCAGTCTGGTGGAGGCCTTAGTAGCTGTGGACAATTAGTCCTTCGGACTAATCTTTTCCTTGTATCCTGTTCTCTTCATTCTCCCTTGCTCCCGAAGGGATGAGACCAGTGGAGTATCTTAGATGGGCGCTCACAGGCTTTTAAGACCCCAGACACTACTCACCAAGGTAGAATGTAGAGCATCGTCTTTATAAGCTGTGTCATGCCGATTGAGCTAGATGTTCCCCGAGACCATGGTCCCCACAGCCCTCCGCCCAGCAACCTGGTTTTATTTTTATCTCCACCAGAAATGTGGACCTGAGAGAATACTTGTCTGAAGAAGTACAAGCAGTGCACAAGAACACCACCTACGACCTCATTGCCAACATTGTGCACGACGGCAAGCCCTCAGAGGGCTCCTACCGGATCCACGTGCTCCACCATGTGAGTGGCAGAGGGTGGCAGAAGCAGGTTTTGTGCCTTTGGCACTTCCGAGGGCACTTCCCTTCAGTTTGCCCTTTCTTGGCCTTGACTTTGGGATTCTGCAGGTCATGGAGCAATCCATGGCTGAAACAGTGGTTCTTCGTTTTGGCTGCACATTGGGCTCACCTGGGGAGCTTTTTAAACTCCTTATACATGGGCACCAGCCCAGACCAGTTTCATTAAGTGGTTTTCAAGCAGGGTAGAGGCCAGGGATGCTGCTAAATATCTGACAGTGCACAGGACAGTCCCCCGCAACAAAGAGTTAGCCAGCCCAAAGTGTCAGTCAGTGTTGAGGTTGAGAAACCCTGTACTAGCTTATCTGGAGATGGACCCAGAGCATCATGATATTTTGAAGTTCCCTAGGAGATTCTGATGTGCAGCGGAGGTTGAGGGCCACTGTTGCAAACTAGAGCCTTGCCACTCAGAGTGGGATCAATGGACCAGCAGCTTTGACATAATCTGGGAGCTTGTTAGAAATGCAGAATCTCAGGTCCCACCCAAACCACTAAATCAGGATCTGTATTTTAACAAGATCCTCTGATTTGTATGAAATTGAAATTTGTGAAGCACGGCTGTAGAGGCTCCCTTTCAGCTAAAAGAAATTTATGAATTTGTCTCAAGCTGAAAAGCTTTGAAACATGTTCTTAAGATACGTTTGGTAGCATCCAGATTATTAGCACAGATTGTTGTAATTTGATTAGTTGCTTATGGAACTTTAGGTTTCTGTGTATCAAGTGTTTTACTGTGTGCTGGACAGCACACCAAGTGCTTAATGTATGTTACTGCGTTTATATCCTTAAAACACACCTCTGAGGTAGATGTTAGTGTCATCTTTTTACCGATGAGGAAACCTAGGCCCGAAGAGTTTGAGTAACTTATCTGAAGTCAGTAGAATGGCTTCAGAGCCCACGTTCATAACCAGTCCTTGAACCATGAATGGAGACTTGCTTATGTGATCCTGCCTTGCTTTATGTTGTTTATATTCTGAAATATTGGAATATCTGAAGTATCTGGAATGTCTGCATTGACATTTCTAAGAAGTTTGGATGGGTGAGGTAGGTGGGCTTCCAGAAGGGCCTCTGCCATAACCCAGAAGCCTCTTTCCCCTGTTCATGGAAGCAGGCAGTGAGGTAGTCTTTGCTGTGTTTGCAGCACTGGTTTGTCTGCCAAAGGAAACAGGTTCAAATGATGGAAATGTCCATCAAGGACACTTTTCCTTGTTTATCAGTCACTTTTGTTCTCTGGAGTAGGGGTAGGGTTGTCCACTTGTAGGTTCTCCCTCCAGTTGACACTTCATTGGTGAGTGTATCTAGCCTGTCATTTCTGAACATGGAGACATCTTACTTGAGGAGTACAGGGCTTCCTCCTTTTCCTCTTTATTGTCCCCTTGAATTCTCCTGAAAAGGCGTACAAGTGTTTGAGACTCCACTGAACTTCAAGGAATCCTCAGATGGAGTTGAGATCAGCACACCAAAAACCCTGAATGGAGTGATGCTCAGCAGAGGTCACGCACCTTTTATATGTGACTCTTGCAGACTAATGGTCTAGTGGCTTTTCTTCTGCTGTTTCTAACTTTGGGCTGTGTTCCCTTCCTTCTGCACCCTTGGTTTTAGGGAACAGACTAACCTAGCCCTCCCTACTTTTTGCAGGGGACGGGCAAATGGTATGAATTACAAGACCTCCAGGTGACTGACATCCTTCCCCAGATGATCACACTGTCGGAGGCATACATTCAGGTGGGTTGGTTGCAGACTTGGTGGAGGGATTGGCACTGGCGAGGCCTTATCAGAGGTGGGGTGTGGGGCCAGTGAGGAATGATGTGGAGGAAGACAGGAAGTGGGTTTGGGAGGGAATGAGGTACTCTACCTTAGTTAGAGGGATGGGTGCCTGTTGAGATGCACTGAGTGGGGCAAGGCCCTGAAAGTTAAGCAGAAATGTTCAGACAAGAGAAGAGCAGGGAAGTGTGGAGGATTTCTGAGCGAGCAAGGAGGGTTGTGTTTACAGCCAGGTTAGTTTGCAGACATATGTGGTCTGGTTCCAAAGAAGAGGAGTCTGGAATCATCAGGGACGCCAGCTAGGAGTTGTCTCTGAAGTCTTCCCCAGTTCCTCAGGCAGAGTTAGTACTCCTTCTCTGTGACCCCACAGCACTCTCTACACACCTTTATTGGAGTACTCACCATGTTATCTCGACTGTTTGCCCTCTCCGTTGGATTGAGAGCCCATGCAGGGTAGTATCGCTACCTTCTCCTTTTGTAACTGCCCTACTACCTGGGAAAAGAAGGAAGATTGAGACTAAGGAACAACTGTAGCTTTGTAAAAGAGAGATACCTCTCTTTCTAGAGATAACTCCTTTCTCTCCTTGTCTAAGGTTGTAGGCTTGGCCATGAGTCATTTTAGAAAGGGAGTTTGGAATGGGAAGTAAGGAAGTGTGGAAAACAAAAATCAAATGAAGGAACTTTTCTGGAAGGTTATGAGTCAGTTTCGTGGGACTTAGCAGATACGTAAGTGGGGTAAAGGTTGTCCATTGCCTAGCACAGAAGATACTTGATAAATATTTGTTAATTGAATGTCTCCTAGACCAGCTCCTAAATATCTGTTGTATTCATCTTACAGATTTGGAAGAGGCGAGATAATGATGAAACCAACCAGCAGGGGGCTTGAAGGATGAGTCTAGGAGTTCGCTCCGGGCCGCTTTTGGCTGAAGATTGTAAATAAGAGTACTGATGCTGCAGATTTTCTGGGCAGCCCGATTTTTCTGGGTTCTGGCTCACATCAGAGCATCAGGGCCGCCCTTCTGGGATGGCTTTGTGCTGTCACCCAGCTGGTTTTTGATCAATTTATTGTAGAGTGATTCTCCATTCTCCTTCCTGTCTAGCTTCCTTTAGCTTCAGCAGGCCAGAACTCTACCAAATGTATGTAATTTATTTCTGAGTAGCTGGGAGGATCTGAAGGATCTGAAGGACAAGGTAATTTCTTCTAAGCATCAAGCCTCAGGATTTTAGGAATGAGAGCTTGAAGCCAGTGACATCTTTCTCCCATCTGTTATAGGTGGATGACTCTCCTGTGGTTCCTTTCATTTCTTGATGTGTTTTTGGAATGAATTAAATACATTCCTGTTTTTAAACTAGCCTCTTGTTTTATTTTTCCCTTAGGCTGCCTAGGATATATTATTAAACATATTTTATTTATTCTTGGTGGCGATCTGTACACTAAACATCCGTTCACAATCTCTGCACGAGCAGCTGAATGGCGCTGGTTGCATCACGTTGTGTCACCAGTCCCGCTGTCTGCCCACATTGTTTCGTCACCGTCTCGTTGGGCCCTCTACCCGTCAGAGTTCCCGTCTGTGCTTAGATTAACTTGTCAGTTTAACCTCGTGTGGGTAGTACTCTACAAGAGTGCCATGCTCAAGGCAAACATTCTTCACTAATTCGTTTACACTGTTGTTTAGTGGGAAGGATTTTTGTTTTACTCACAAACTGTCTACCCTACCATCTGTCATCTGGTGGATTGATGCTTGTCTCTTGTCAGCTTGTGGCTGGTGTGTCAGTTAGGATGCGTTTGTCTCTGAGTAACAAAATCTCCGACTAAAAATGATAACTTTTTATCATACTTAACTGGAAGCCTGGAGGTAGGTGCTTTCAGTTGTAACGCAGGTCGGGCACCTGCATAAGGAAAGAGGGAAGGAAGGAAGATTGAGAGAGGAGAGCTTCTGACTGCAGTGTGATTCTGAGAAAGTCTTCACCAGGCTGATGGGGAGCCCCAGAGCAAAGATTGCCTGTCAAAGGAATTGGGCAGAAATGGCTTCTGTCAAGCTCGGTCACTGACCAAGAGGAGGCTGGAGGCAGTGTGGTTTCAGTGTTAGCACTGTAGTAGATCCAAAGATGTGGGAGATCTGAAGATGGAGCAGCTCGAGGCAGTCAGTCAGCTATGCTCCCTACCACACCTTCTCTTGAAGGGAGCTGGGAGCGGTATACCTATGGGACTGCCACCCTTTGCTTCTGGGACAACACCGTCTTTATTTTCCTATTTCCCTAGAAGCTCCCAGTATTTCCTTTGCAGGCTTGTCTTCCTTTATCCAGCCATTAAAAGTTAGAGTTCTTCAAGACTCAGTTCTTCCAAACCCTCACTGTATGCTTTTTCCCTAGGCCATTCCAACTTTGCCTGTGCCTGCAGTTACCATCTTTAGGGAGATGACTCGGAAACAGATCTTCATCCGAGACTTCTGTAAGTTTCTGAACTTTAGAGACAACTTCCTACTCGATATATTTTGGGTGTTTTAATATCAACTGAAACTCACATTGTTCAAAACTGACCTTGGTATTTTCCCTCTTAAACTTGCCCCATTTTCATTATTTCCTGTCTAGGGAAAAGGCTCTACCATTCGTCTAATTACATAAGCTGGTTGTTGTTGTTGGGTGCCATCAAGTTGACTCTGACTCGGCGACCCCATGTGACAGAGTAGAACTGCCCAGTAGGGTTTCCTAGGCTGTAATCTATACAGAAGCAGATTGCCAGGTCTTTTCTCCCTCAGAGCTGCTGGGGGAGCTCAAACCACCAACCTTTTGGTTTGCAGCCGAGTGCTTAAGCATTGTACCACCAGGGCTCCTTACATAAGCTGGAGCTGTCCTTTATACCTCCCCTCACTTCCCTTGTCTAATCTATTACCAAGTCCTGTCAGTTTTACTTTTTAGGTATTTTTTTGAATCTACCCACTTCTTCTCATTTTCTGTACTGTGTAATCTAAGCTATTGCCAGCTTCTGTTTGCAATATCTCGGCATGAGTCTGGGCCCAATCAGGAAACAGAAACCGTAGAGTAATTTGAACAGGGAAAGTTTAATTTCAAGAAGTATTAAATACAACAGGGGATTGGAGTAACAAGTAATTATCTAGTAACAAAGAGAACCCTAAAAAATGTAGGAATAGCCGTATAAGGAGAAGTCACTACCCCTAGGGCTGACAGAGTATCCAAGGCAGAGATCCAAGTCCAGACCTTGATGGAAATCTGCCTTCTGGAACTTGTCTGAAATCTGCTGTCTAGTGTGCTGGGGAAAGCTGTTGACAGGGAGGTGTCTCACTGGAGGCACTCTGCTATAAAACTGCCTGGGCAGGGGTGGTAGCGGCAGGTGAAGCTGCGGGGTGCCAGGAACTGCTGGCTGCAGTGCACTGTAGTAGCCAGGCGCAGGAGAATCTTGAGTGCTGTAGGAGCCTGATGCTGGAGGAAGCTGCACACGCTGCTTTCAAGTGAATACGCTGGAACCAGGAAGCAAAACCCTTCTGCATTGTATCTCCAGCACCCTCTACTGACAAAGCTTTAGTGCCAGCTGGCAAGGAAAAATACAAAGGGCCCAGATCGATTTTCACAGAGCAGACAAAAAGGGTCAGTTTGGAGCTGAGAGGCAATAAATTGATAACTGGCACAGTCCACCCTTTTGACAGCCTCTGTATGCACTAGTAGACACATTTGGTGGTGCAAGTTGGCAGTTCAAACCCACCCAGTGGCTCTGTGGAAGAGAAGACCTGGTGATCTACTCCCGTAAGGATTATAGCCTAGGAAGCCCTGTGGGGCAGTTCTACTCTGTCATATAGGGTTGTTTTGAGTGGGGATCGACTTGATGGTACACAACAACAGGAACACACATTGGAACTTTCGTACAACAACAGCAACAACAAAGAACACTATTTCTGCCTAACAAAAAACAGCTATACTTATAAGTGGAGAAGTTTTTACTCTTTTCAAAATGAGGAGATGCTACGTTGCAAGAATGATTGTATCCACTGTTGGCATAGTCCCACTAAATTTTTTGATACTTAAAGACAAAATTGTAAAGTTAACTTCCAACAATTTGTATATAAGATAAAAATGAGAAGGAAAAAATGGCTAGCATATGCAAATTATCACACACAAAACAAGCAAACAGACAATATGCAAAGCTACTACAATCCTCATTTCTGTAATGGATCACCAGGCTGTAAATGATACCTACAGCTTTCTTCCACTACTTCCGTATTTCTCCTGCCCTCAGCCAGAACCTGGTAGGGGCCCCAAACTGTCAGTCCCATAGAGTCTGACACTTCAGTCATCTGCCAGTGTTTTGGCTTCTGTAGTTTTCCATTAACCTTTACTATTGGACATAATCCACCATGCCTCCATTGTGTAGCAGCAACCCAGTTTCCTTCTGATAACCAAGATCAATCACTGCAAGTAGATTGACCTTCCTCCTCTTTTTTCTGCTTGTTGGTTCAGTAGCATAAAGAGTCCAAAATGGCCAGGTGATAATCTGATTTTCCAGTTTAATGGAACCATTGTTGGTGGAAGCATTTCTCTTTCAGAGACTAAGATCTCAAAACCTGCAAAGGTGAAAGTTGCCAGGACTGGAAGCTAAAATTCTGTGAGAAAGTGATTAGGTATCATTGAGGAGCCACTCCCTCTTCTATCACTTTTCCAGACCCATGTATTCTGACTGTGGGGGAGACAGCACCATATCATGGTCTGTTATTCAAAGCATGTAATACATCATGTAAAACAGCACCAACTGGTGCTATAACTGAGCCTCCAATAAGCCGTGTCACCTTTCAGTTAGGCCAGCTACTTCCGGATAATGGGGTATGTGGTGGTGGTTTTTAGGTGCCGTCGAATCGGTTCCAACTCACAGTGTCCCTGTGTACAACAGAACAAAACACTGCTGGGTCCTGCGCCATCCTCATGATCATTGTTATGCTTGAGCCCATTGTTGCAGCCACTGTGTCAGTCTGTCTCCTTGAGGGTCTTCCTCTTTTTTGATGACCCTGTACCAAGCATGATGTCCTTCTCCAGGGACTGGTCCCTCCTGATAACATGTTCAAAGTATGAGAGACCCAGTCTCGCCATCCTCACTTCTAAGGAGCATTCCGGCTATACTTCTTCCAAGACAGATTTGTTCGTTCTTTTGGCAGTCCATGGTATATCAGTATTCTCCAACACCATAATTCAAAGGCGTCCGTTCTTCTTCTGTCTTCCTTGTTCATTGTCTGGCTTTCCTATGCATATGAGGCAGTTGAAAACACCGTGGCTTGGGTCAGGCGCACCATAGTCCTTAAAGTGACATTTTTGCTTTTTACCACTCCAGAGAGGTCTTTTGCAGCAGATTCGCCCAGTGCAATGTGTCTTTTGATTTCTTGACTGCTGCTGCTGTGGATGTTGATTGTGAATCCAGGTAAAATGAAATCCTTGACAACTTCAGTCTTTTCTCCATTTATCATGATGTTGTTTATTGGTGCAGTTGTGAGGATTTTTGTTTTCTTTACGTTGAGGTGTAATCCATACTGAAGGCTGTAGTCTTTGATCTTCATCAGTAAGTGTGGTAAAACCAGTTAATTCCATGGGTATAAGCCCATTGCTGGAGCCCTGGTGGCACAGTGGTTAAGAGCTCATCTGCTAACCAAAGGGTCGGCAGTTGGAATCCGCCAACTGCTCCTTCGAAACCCTATGGGGCAGTTCTACTCTGTCCTGTAAGGTTGCTATGAGTCGGAATCAACTTGATGGCAAATTTTTTTTTTTTTTTTTTAAGCTACACTTCCTTTGCTGTGAAATGAGTTCCTTGATCAGATGCAATGCTGTGTGGAATATCATGATGATTAATTAGGAATTCTGTGAGTCAGTGGATGGTGGTGCTGGGAGAAGCATTACAGGCAGAGAAGGCAAATCTGTATCCAGTATATGTAGCTATTCCTGTAAGTATGTATCTCTGCACCTTCCACAATGGAAGAGGTCCACCGTAATAAATCTGCCAGCAGGGCCCTGACTAATCTCCAACAAGAAATGGTGCGATATCAAGGAGTCAACATTGGTCTCTGGGGTTGGCAGATTAGATACTCAGCAGAGGCACTGCTTAGCTCAGGGGAAGTGAAAGCCCATGTTGTGGAGCCCATGCATAGCCTCTGTCCCTGCCACCATAGCTCGGGTCCCACTGAGCAAGCATGGGAGGGAAAGAAGCTGGCTGACATCCACGGAGCCTGTCCTTTGTGTCCACCTGATTATTAAGAATTTCCCTTGCAGTGGATACCTTTTGGTGGGAACATTGCTATGTGACAAAAATATCTTTATAGTATATACTCATTCAAATAGTTCCATCCACATACGTTTTCCCCAGACCTCCTTTTCACCAGTCTTACAATTCTCTTTCTTCTGAATCCCTGGCCATTCAGCCAAGTCATTGGCAACTGCCCAGAAATTAATGTAAATCTGTACTTCTAGCCATCTCCCACCCCAGATACAGTGGAAAAGCAAACATACTGCTCAAAGTTAAACTCACTAAGAAGATTCTCCCTAACCATTGTCTTTCAGTGCCACCCAGGAGTGGGTCTGAAATACTGCTATATTACAGATCCACCTATTAACCAGACTTGAGTTTCACCTTCCTCAGTCAGGAGGAAATAGGTATGGATTGAGAGAGGAGAGACAAGAAGAGTTGGTGTCAAAGGAGTCTAAGCCACCTGCTCCTGCAACTTGTACCTTCCAGACCTGCCCAGGCTTGGTCTCTCACATACTAGTCCCATTTGATTATAGATTGTTACTGCACATGCCTAACCTTATGGTTAGATGAGTTAGACAATGGCTAGATCATGAGAGGAGGCTCAGGCTGCATGGTTGCCTGATGCCCTGTGGTTAGGGGCTCAGTTTCTACCATGATCCAGTAGCTAGCAGAAGCTGTTTCTCAAAAGGAGAACAGTTATATGCAGAAGAGGGCATAGACTTGCTCAAAAATTCCGGAGGTCTGCTTTGTGGTTTTCCTCTTGGTGCTTGCCAGAGGCTCCGTTCAGCATTCTTATTTTCCACAAACACTTCAAAATATTGAATCTTCTGGATCATAAGGCCCAAGTGGTGGAGCAGCCTGCTCTGTGG